CTATCTATAATTTTGACGGCACCGCTGGGCTGTATCTCCACCACATCGCCGGTGTGCAGCCATCCGTCTGCATCGATTGTTTCATTTGTTTTTTCTCGAGATAAAAAATATTCTTTCATCAGACCCGGGCCACGCACAAGCAGCTCACCCCTATGCAACACACACTACACACAGTAAACCCTAAACCCTAAACCCTAAACCCTAAACCCTAGAAATGGAATGGGGATTGCAGACGCAACAACACACTAGCAAACATAAACCCTAAACCCTTGTACACACTACACAGCCTCAAACCCCAAACCCTAAACCCTAAACCCTTGTACACACTATTACACCCAACCCCAACCCCTAAACCCTAGCCCCTAAACCCTAAACCCTAAACCCTAGATACCTTGGGGGGTTCGCAGTGGCGTCGTATTGAAGCTCAGGAATAGATATAACTTTAAACTCCGTGGAGACAAGGGGGCCCCCAATTGTCCCCTTGCTGCTGTCGTCCGAATGCTGCAAAAAGGAGATACCCGTCTCCGTCATGCCCCAACCCTGAAAAAGAATACAGCAGCAGCAGCAGCAGCAGCAGCAGCAGCAGCGGCAGCAGCAGCAAGGCAGCAGCAGCAGCAGCAACAGCAGCAGCAGCAGCAGCAACAGCAGCAGCAGCAGCAACAGCAACAGCAGCAGCAGCAGCAACAGCAACAGCAGCAGCAGCAGCGGCAAACACAAAAATAAGAGAACGCATGCAACTAGGAAGCAGAGACACTGCAACAGACGAAGAGATACAGCTCAACGCATGCAGAGACAGCTCAGGTCTCTTTGAACACAAACCCTAACCCTCCTCTTTTTCTTTTTTTTCTCTTTTTCTTTCTTTCTCTTTCTCTCTATCCCTGCTGCTATTTCTGTCTCTGTCTACTTTTCTCCGTCTCCTGCTTCGTCTGCTTGCTCCTCTTGTCTCCGTGTTTGTCTGTCTCTGTCGGTTTCTTTTTGTCTATTTGTTTTTTTCTTTGTTTTTCTCTATCTCTGTGTGCTGTGTATATGTCTTTGTCTCTGTGCGTCTCTGTTTGTTTCTCTGTGTCTCTGTCGCGCTGCGTGGATCTCCTCGCATATATATATATATATATATATATATATATATATATATATATATATATATATATATATATATATANTTTTTTTTTTTTTTTTTTGTATTTCTTACCTCGCATATAATAGCAGAGAGATACAACTGCAGCTCAAGCAGCTGCTGTGAATCCATAGGAGCGCTGCCTACACAAACCGTGCGTATGCTGCCCCCCATGCTCGCTCGAATATTCCGAAACAGCTGCAACACAAAACCCTAAACCCTAAACCCTAAACCCTAATCCATGGTAGATATGCAAAGGCGACACCTTCAAGCGGATAGAGGCGCAAACCCCAACAAGTGTACAGCGAGGGTTTAGTCTGTTGCAGAGCTGAGGGTTTACAACTGGGTGTGCATGCAAGTAAAGAGAAAACTGTTTATGTTGAAGCTGCGTTTCAAAGCCCCGAGAGAATGCTACAGGTTCGGGCTAGTGGGCTGGGGTGTATGCTGAGGTGTGGCGCGAAAGGGTTTATCTTAAGGTTGGGGGTTTGGGAGTGTTTAGGGTTTAGGGTTTAGGGTTTAGGGCTGTGCTAACGAGGTCCGGGAAGAAGCTGGTGAGTGCCGTTGGGTTTTGTAGATATTTATGTTTTTTTGCGTTGAGTGCTTTGGCTGCGAGCCACTGTATGAAAGGTTGTTTCTGCTGTATGCCTGCGTTTATTTTTGCAAATATTTTGTTGAATACCCGCGGAACTCCGATGAAAACTGAGGGTTTCGCGAGCTGTGCATCTTCTCCTAGACGCAGCATATCGCCGCTATAGTAAGCTACACGAATTCCCAATAAAGTCACCACCAATTCAACTCCACGCTGATATATATGTGCCAATGGCAAATAAGATAATGTACTATCACCCAAAAACACTTGCATACGGTTGCTGCTACCCAGGTAAGAACCCACAAAAGATAACAAAGAACCGTTCGTATGCACCGCACCCTTCGGTAACCCCGTGGTTCCTGAACGCAAGAAATTTCAAAAATGCAGAAATATTCAGAAAAATTAAAAAGTCCGTGCAACAGCGAAAACACTCATGAAATTCAAAACACTTTCATGAAATTCAAAACCCCTTTGTTTTCAAGAAATTCAAAATATTTTCAAGAAATTCAAAATATTTTCAAGAAATACCAAACAATTTCATGAAATGACAGAAACTTTCATGAATTGCCAAACCCTTATATGAAATGTCAAACCCTTTCATGAAACGACAAACCCTTCCATGAAATGGAAAAAATTTTCATGAAGTGACAGAAACTTTTATGAAGAGAAGAAAGCTTTCATGAAACAAAATTTTCATGAAATGAGAGAAACTTTCATGAAGAGAAGAAAACTTTCATGAAAGAGAGAAAACCCCTTCATGAAACAACAAACATTTCATAAAATGACAAAAAAATTCATGAAATGTCAAAAGATTCCATGAAATTCAAAATTGTTTCAAGAAATTTCAAACCCTCTTAAGAAACAACAAACCCCTTCATGAAATGATGAACTCGCCAATGAAACCCCAAACGTTTTCATAAAAAGTTCAGAAAAAAAATGATAAACCCAGATACGAAATGCCAAGACCTTTCAATATAGTTTGAATACTCGCATCGATCATCAGCCCCCGCAAAAAGCACATAGCCACATCCCTCAAGCAAGTCCCGAACAAGCCTGACAAGTGCAAGCAACTAGCCAGACAGCTAGCCACAAACCTAGCTAGCTGAACAGCTAGCTGAGTACGTAGCACCCCAACTAAATAAAATGCTGCAGTTAACCAGGTCGTTAGTTGGTCAGAAGCGACAGTCTACACAGAGACTTCTATCTTGCGCAGCAACCCCTTCATGTGCATGTATCCACCTCTCCCGTAGCTAGCTAGCTGGCTAGCTAGCTAGCTGGCTAGCCAGCGAGGTGTAGAAGCTTGTTTCAGTGATTACCCGAGGTGAATATGATCGTGCAGACGTCGTCGAGAGAAGGCGCCAGCTCCTCCGGCGACTTCTCGTCGGGAATTGAGAGGTACTGCATGTCAGATGAAAGCAAAACCCTAGACCCCAGCCACTAAACCCTAAACCCTAGACCCCAAGGGTTTTCAGGACCCTCAGTTTATCTGTACTCGGCTCTTGCAAACACAAGCAAAGTGTGAGAGGTTTGGGGTTAGTCAGGGTGCACGGGGTATCTACAGGTGTGGTCTCATCTATCGGGGAGAGGCATACGCATGAAAGGGTTTAGGGTTTAGTGTTTAAGGGTTTTATTGCTTACCTTTCTTCTTAGTTTCTCCTGGTGATAGAGCCCAACTCCTGCCTCTCGGAACGCCTCGATCTGCTCCTTTGTTGGCTGCAGAGCACGTCCTGAACCCTAAACTCTGAACCCTAAACCCTAAACCCTAAACCCTAAACCCTTTCCCTAGATCCCAATGCGAACCCTAATCCGAATCCCAGAGTGAAGAAAATCGCATAATACCGCAAAACGCATGCACTGCAAGCCCCAAAACGCATGCACTTCAACCTCACTTCATCAAATGAAATAACTGCTTTCAACGGAAACCCCTCCTTCTTAAGTCGCAGTGCTGCATCCAGCTTTGAGCCCTCGGCGGCCAGCACCTCCATCTCTGCAAGCCCCAAACACTAAACCCTAAACCCTAAACCCCAAACCCTAAACCCTAAACTTCAGCCCCCAATCCCTGCGCTCTCCAGCCTGCAGTCTTCCGTCGATCCAGCGTACAAACAACCGCTTCACGAATGCATACAACTTGTGTATCTTCTGCTCTGCGGGTTTAGGGTTTAGGCTTGAAGATCGAGGGTTTAGGGTTTGGGGTCAAGGGTTTATGGTGTACTCGTTTGCTTAATGATGTGCTTCACCGACTCTTCTCCCAGCGTGTCGTAGAGAGGGACTGTGACAATACCCCGGTAGTTCGCTGCAAACCCCAAACCCCAAACCCTAAACCCTAAACCCTAAACCCTAAACCATAAACCCTCGATTTTCTGACTCCGCAGTGCCTGTGCTCCCTTCATCTGCAGCCCGAGTCTCAGGGTCAAAACGCAAAGCAAACCCCAAACCCTAAACCCTAAACCCTAAACCCTTGCCTGCGAAGTCTAGCAGTCTCCAGTCTAGCCTGGTCCTGGACCAGAGCCCCAAAACCCTCAAGGGTTTACGGATATAGCTCGAACCCTCATCATCGTAATGAGACAAAGAAACCCCCACCTCCTGGTCTAGCGCCCTCCCCAACGACTCCACCATGCGCAGCGTCTGCAGACAAAGAAACCCTAAACCCTAAACCCTAAACCCTAAACCCTAATTCAAAGCTAGAGCAGTAGACTGTATGCCGGAGCTGTAAACTGGGACTCGAGCATACTACATAGCCAAAACCCTAAACCCTAAACCCTAAACCCTAAACCCTTTTCTCACGTCTGCATAGGTAAAGTATTTGAAGCCCGAGAGGGTCGCAGGCGAGCTGCCGTCGTTGATGGGCCGGCGTTCACCCACATAAAGATTTTTGCCGAAGATGCGCGCAGCTTCCTTGAGCAGCAAATACCTGAAAAAGAAACATATAAATAAACACACAACAACCCGAAACCCTAAACCCTAAACCCTAGTGTCCATAGTGTGAAGCTAAGAGAAAACCTAAACGGCGAATGGTCTAGGGTTTAGGGTTTTAAGAGCCTCCAGTGTTTGAGGCGTTTTCATGAGGACTGCGCGGCATATCCTTCCGCCTCTCCAAGGGTTTAGGGTTTAGGGTTTAGGGTTTAGGGTTTACAGGGATTTGATGTTGGGGAACTGCGGAACCGCCGCCTCCCCCAGTTTGGTGCAATCAGGGTTTGAGGGGTCGGGGACGGCGCGGTATACAGCTGAGCTGTCTGCAGCAGAAAAAAGAAAAAAAAATAAAAAAATAAAAAAATTAAAACCAGAAGACAAAAGACATTCATCAACAAAACACAAACTAAACACAAAAGAGGAGAAATGAAAAAAAAAAAAAAAAAAAAAAAAAAAAAAAGACAGAAAACGCACGTAGGAGACGAAAAGAAAAGTCAAAAAGAAATAACACATTATAAGAAAAGGAGACAAACAAGTCTATAGCCCCAAACAAACCAAACATAAACCATTCAGCTGCAGCAGGTTGCTGTTGTTGCTGTTGCTGCTGCTGCAGCAGTTGCTACAGCTGTTGCTGCAGCAGCTGCAGTGATGGTTGGTGTTGTTGTTGTTACTCTTCTCGCTGTGTATGCGCGTTGTTTTGAGGTGTACGTACACCGGAGAAATCAACTCAACTCACTTTCTGTTTCTGTTCCCTGCTGCGGCAATGCATATTTTCCTTTCCAGGGTTTCACCTGCAGCAACTGCTGCAGCCGCTGCGCCTCTTTCTCATCCGCGCCGTCGCTGGCGAGGACGGCGCACTCTTCGGACAACTCTCCCATTGTCCCCCAGAAACAACGACCACCTGCAGCAGCAGCAGCAGCAGCAGCAGCAGCAGCAGCAGCAGCAGTAGCAGCAGCAGCAGTTGCAGCAGTAGGAGGAAGAGGACGGGTTTGAACGAGTTGCTGAGGCACGAACCAGCAGCTAAAGAACACAGAGACAGTGATGAATGTAAACAACTCGATACAACATGTGCTTGTCTATGTGATCCGCTGGGGCTGCTGCTGTTGCTGCTGCTGCTGCTGTGGTTGCTGCAGTTGCTCGGGGTATTCTTCCTGATGCTGCTGCTGGTGTAGTGGACAGTGTTGTAGCTGCTGAGTGTTTTGTTGCTGCTGCTGCTGTGGTTGCTGTTGATGCTGTTGCTGTTGCTGCAGCTGCAGCTGCTGTTGCTGCTGCTGCTCGCAGACACCATCACCCCATCCGCCCGTGAAATTCTAACGAAATTCTTTCATTCCCCTGAATCAATATAAACTAATGTGCTGTAGTTTCTGCTCTTAGTGTAGCTGTTGCTGCTGCTGCTGCTGCTGCTGTTGTCGCTGCGTTGCCGCCGTAGCAGCAGAGGGTTGATGCTGCTCTTGCAGCTTCTGCTGCTGCTGCTGCTGCTGCAGCACACATGACCTAGGCCGACGACCGGCTGCATTTTCGTGTTCTCTTTTTCCAAGGGGAGTAGGAGAGAGCTGGAAAAGTGTATTACCGAGTTTAGAAGCGCATAGGGCGTCTCCCGTGGGGCCCTCAGCTGTACGTACACCTGAACACTTGACGGGAAATCCTAAACCCTAAACCCTAAATTCTAAACCCTAAACCCTAAACCACTAAGCCTACGTACCTCGAGGAAATAGAAGGGCCACACTGTAGGGAGATGAGTGAGCGGCGAGAACTTCGAACACGACAACCCTACCGAGGGTTTAGGGTTTAGGGTTTGTGGTTTCAGGTGTAGAGTTAAGAGCTCGGGGTTGAGGAACTGAAGCCAACGTGCAATAAATTTAGCATTAGAAATAAACGGCGAGAACAATAGGTCGCACACCCAAGACACAGCAGCAGCTACTGCTCCTTCTGCCGCTGCTGCTGCTGTTTGCTTCTGTCTAGCCCTGGTGAAGGCAGGAATTTGGTTTGTTCGTTTTTTATATTTCTTTGTTTGTCAAAAGATGAAATATTAAATTACAAAAACTGAGAAATACAACACAGTGTAGATTTTCAAAAAAGACACAACCAGCAACCCGAACAACCCCGAACTTCCGTGCGTAGTAGGACCTCTAGGGCATGGCATCTCTGAGCTTTTGTTTTTTTTTTAATTATGTTTGCCTCAGACCAAAGAAATTAATATATATTTAAACATAAACAGTAAATTTTGCCAGAGTTCACAGCAGAGTTGCCAGACTGCTCGTTTCCAGCTCTGGCCGCCCTGCTCTTGTGATCCTTTTGCTCCTCTTGGTGTCTGCGCTGTTTTGTATGGCCCCGCCGTTGCTGTCGCTGCATGCAGCAGCAGCAGCAAGCAGGTAGAGGGGAGGGTGGCTCTAGCAACTGCTGCAGTTTGCGAGGGGCTCTTAGTGCTCACAAGACTGCCGCCAAATATGCGGGGGGGGGGNGGGGGGGGGGTCCTCGACCTTAGTCGAAAATCATTGTCAGCTGCAGTAGAATCAAAATTTTTGAGTTTCCAAGAAGAAGCTGACCTCCCCTTCATCCCCCGGCTTCCTGGAGTCAGTGGCACGAAGGCCAGGAATGGCGAGGAGGGGGAGGCGGCCCGTGGTAAGTTGCAGCAGGCCTCTCTGCAACTTCTGCTGCATACCAATGCGGTGGCGTGGCGCTCTCCTGCTTGCGTCTAGGCTGCCTACAAAGGGCAACGTAAGTGTTCAACAATTTTTTACAGGGTTAGTGCATGCAAAAGATGGGGCTTGGTTGAGCTCGCTTGGGGGATTGATTTGAGTCACTAGTTGCAATGAGGCGCGTTAAAAAAGAGGCGTGCTGCATCATCTGGTCCCAACCTCAAACCCTTAGGCCGCTGTGCCTATAGCACTTGGGGACTGGATGCGTGGCTGCTGCTTTGGGGGGGCCCTTTAAGTATTTTACCCCTGTTTCATCTCACGACGGCCCTCTGAGGGGATGGAGGACTCTCCTATGCGACTACCAAGCGGCCTGTCAGTGGCTGTACTTACACTGTAGACACTGTTTATGCACGCTTGGGTCTCAGGAGGAATCCTGGAAGCATGTAGGAATACTCATACTAACTTCAAGAAGGACGCCCGCCAGCAGGCCGCACTCCCGCGAGCACTGCGCACCCTTGTGTGGCTGGATAGCCAAGAAGGAATTAGTGGGGTGAGAAAGGGGGACGCTGGAAACGAGAGGCGTCAGACACCCCAAAAAAGATAAGGAAGAGAAAAATGGAAGAGGAAAAGGCACACCAGCTACCCTGGATGCACGAGAAATGACGCACAGGTGCCAAAAAGCACGAGGGTATTGCGTTAATTTGCCGGCGGTTCTTATAGGCGCACTCGTCTCCTGTCTCATGGCAATTTAACGCAGTATAGTCGTGCCTTTTGGCCTCTGTTCGGCGCTATCCCTCGCCCGGGATATCTTTCCCATTGCATCAATCTCGCTAGTAACATATCGACTACGCTGTATGCCAGCGCATTGACTCGAGAACGAACAGCACATGGGCATGCTCAAAGTACGGCTGCTCGCTATATAGAGTGATTCGTGGAAAGTTTGAATCCAATAAAACTAGTTCACCGGGGTTAAAAGTCTTTGCCGGACGCCTGTTGGCGTAGTTTCGTGACTGGAATCCTTATGCGGTTTTCCAGACATTCCTGAGCAGCTCCACGCTGTGTATGGAAATCAGCAACTGCAAGTGTACGATGCTTATTTACTAAGACCAGTTCGAACATCGATGTCCTTGATACACCTGAGTGTGAAGCCGTAATGCGTGAACCGGCAAATCCATTGTACAGCTCTTCCGACCTCTGAATCTTGAAATTTCCTTCGGTGTGTTAAGGGCTCATGGATAGTTTGAGCAGTGAAGTGCTGCCACATAAGTAACCTCGACACTTCTGCACTACAGACCAGACCGAGTCGCGCCCCTCCTCATCGCCAGACACTGCTGCTCTATTTCCATGAAACTGCTTGAGTCCCCAACGACTGTTTAGTGTTTTGTTTGCCGACATTTTATCACGCCATGCTCCTGGGTACCGACGTCGATTGTGAGGAACCAGGGTTTTTCGCAATCAGGGCGCCAAAGTACTGGGGATAATGAAATATGTCTGATAGGGCTCCTGGCAGTTTTTCCCCAGTTCCTGCCCGAACTAGTTGTTCGCAGTTTTGAGTAGACCCTGTAGAGGTGCTCCCATGCGAGCAAAACAAGAGATGAAGTTACGCTAGAACAGTGCTGTACTGTAGGAGTAGCAGTATGTACCGCATCCGCTTCGCGCCGCAAGTTATTAACCTGTCTCTGCAGTTCAGCAAGTGCATTCACGGTCCCAACAGGCATAAGGTGTGCTGTAGTCTACGAGTGCGGGTGTATAACGTAGCCTTCTGCCGGTCGTTGGTGTAGTGCGTGTTTTCCGGTAGCATTCGAGGATCATAACGAGCTGCAGTGAAGCCACAGACTTGAGGCAATAATTTCCCCAAAGCAGCTGACTTCCCACCCCTGTCCCCAGGCATCCTGAGCGTTCGGCTGAGGGTCTTCGGTTTTTGGGGAGGAAGCAACCTGGAGGAGTTGCAGGAGTTGCAGTGCATCTCATCGCAGCTGGCAGCGCACGCCAGCCTCACGTTGGTGCACAAGGAGGCTTCAACCAAACTTCATTTTCTGCACGTTTTCCCTGTGTATGCACGTATAGAGCGTTTTTCATTGCTTGCAGTCAACCTACCAATGCCAAGTGAATACTCCTGTGCTAATTGCAAGCAGGCTACGCGTACAACGGTTGCTGTCTGGCCTTAATCAAGTACAGAAGCGAGCGAGCTGGTAAAAACTTAAAGTAAGAGCTTCCCCAAAGCAGCTGGCATCCTTCCCCTGTCCTCAGGCCTCCTGGCCGTTGAGCTCAGGTCTGGGGGTTGCTGGGAGGAGGTTGCAGCGCAGCTCGCTGCGGCTGGTGAAACAAACCAGCCTCACGCGTGCACACAAGGGAGCTTCAATGAAGCTTCTTTTGCTGCATGGTTTACCTCTGATTGTATTTATAGAACGTTGGCCTTACACGCAACCTACCGAGGCCAAGGGAAGGCTCCCGTGCTAACTGTAGGGTGGCCATACTACAACGCTATAGTTGGAAACTACAGAAGCTCGGCAGCGGTTTCACCAGTGCCTGCCTTTCCCGCCGATTTCATCCCTTTGGAATCAAATCATTTGCTTCAACAACAATTACTAGTTATAAATAAACGATATTTTGCCTCTTCATCGAAAGATATCACGAAGGAAAGATACTGCGTGCTCCGCTCCTGTCGATCTTCCCGCCCCCCTCCGCTCGCGGGAGCGCGACTGGCGTAAATATCGCATAAAACGCTGAAATAAACGACAACGGCCCAACAAATGCAAAATTAAATGCAATTTAACCACAGATTTTTCCGGAGATGCCTCCTTTACACCCAGCACACGCCTGTACTGCGCAGCCCTGGCTGACTGGTCTTGACGTACCGCCGACACAGGATATAGAGTTCGCATAAACTGCTCGCTACTTCTGCTTTTGTTGCAGTGTTTGATTCTACATGCAGAAATACGTTAATTCTCTCATATCCCTTAACGCTTTCTGTTTGACTTGGCGCGAATCAAAGACACAGATGTCGCCATCTCCCGCCGGGTCTGGAGACAGGCGGGGGCAGGCAACAGGGATAACGGGAAATCCTAAACACTAAAACATATACCTTTGAATTAGTAGCTTAATTTATGGTGTTTGGTTCCAGTGATGAGTGCTCTGACTTACGGAAAGTGAGAAGGCTAGCCTAACCCCATGCTACTGCTGCCACAGCTGTGGCGGCTTCGGCTTTCGTCACCTCCAGCGCTGGATTGTGGTGGCGGAGTTCACTCGCTCTACAGGCAGCATCAAGTGAGGAGAAGCAGGCCTCCTGGCATTTCTGCGAATAGCTGATGCTGCTGCTACTGCGCCCCGCCGTGCTCAGGTGGTGCAGCGATGGCTTCTGTACTACTGCTGCAAATGCCTATGCAGCTACTATTGCTGTTGCCGTTGGGCGCTCCCTCCTATAAGAAATAAATGCAGAACGAAAAACTCAGAATTGAGGGGCCGCACCGTCTGTCGCTGCGGAGCCGGAAGTAGTTGAAGGGGAACGGGAACGTCAAGAGTTTCCATTCGCTCGAGGTGAGTTGCTGCTGGTGTTGCCGCTGCAGTTGCTCGCTCAGCAGCCGCTCCTGCTTCTGTGTGCTCTGCAAGTGCTGTTGGATATGGACCGGCGTTTTCCCCTTCAGGCGCCGCTCCTGTTGCGGTATCTCGTTCCAGCTGCTATTGTCATTCTCCATTGGTGCTGAAGTTGTTGGGATGGAGCCTGTGGGGCGACAATTGACCTATCCCAGAGAGGACTAGCGGTTTAGCAGCAATGATGTGGTCTGTATCTGCATGTTTGATGCCGCTGGCTGACGAGAAAGTTTCCTCAGAATTCACCGAACTGTTTCGGCAATAGGTGGCTTCAAATGAGGTTAGGTACCTTGCAGCTTCTAAAGTGGAGCTAGTTGAGGCCGAAATTGTGTGATAAACCCTAGACTCTTAATCCTAAACCCGAAAATCTAAACGTTTAACGTCAAGATGGGCATACACTCTGAGCCCTGCGCCCCCAGCGCTTCAGGGGTGACCGTCGATCCTAAGCACTGAACACGGGGTGGCTGGAATGGGGGCGTTTAGAGCTTAGCGTATACAGTTTAGGCCTAGGGTTTTTTACTTGTGTATGGGCCTTGCCAAAGGATTTGAAATTATCTGAAGGAAAGCGCATAGCTGCATTTCACCAGGTGGAAGGCCTGCCTCTTCCCGCGGGTTCAGCAGAAATGAACAACCGTGACCCCCCGTACTTGAAAGTAACGAAGATATACCACGGCTTGGCGTAAGAGGTTCACACTGTAAACTCTAAACTCTATGCCCTGATGCTCGATACTCCCTAGACGCGGTTCCCCATGCCGCAACCCTTGAGTTTAAACATGTACCTAAACTTATTGCTCACTGTATCTTTCTGGGTTTCAGGTTTTGGGGGGTAGCAGGAGCTGCGGAGGTTGCTGAGGTGTTATCTGTACTTGTTCCTCTGAAACTGCGTGTTGAGTTGCTTGTTTCGTTCATGCTGCGCAGTGTTTCGCGGAGTGCTTGTGTGCACTTTAGGCGAATACGTCGAGAAAGATGTTTCCAACAATTGGAATATTCCTGGATTATGAGGTGTTGATGATTGTGGAGAGCGGCAACTTAAATTACTTTACATATGAGCACGAAGATTACTTGAACTGCCGTCGTATGTTATCTTTCCTGGACGACTCTGAGGCATCTGTTTGTGGGACGTCTGTGTGGAGTGTATTCTACAAGAAGAAACATTCGAAAAGAAGGGGAAGATCGAGTATGAACCGAATTCTCGTCGAAGGACGGAAAGAGAAGTTGAATCTGAGACAACTTTCACTCGTCTTGATGAAGGACAAGATCTCATGCGGCTTGGCTCAGAATGTTTCCCGTTGAAGAGATTCGGCAGCTGCTACAGAAGTACCCGATAGCGCATTCCCACCGCTACAAACACGTGCTTCTCGGAAGAGTTCCACTACGATTCCAAACCAAAAGGTGAATGGAAACTGGCCCCAACAGCCGTGCTTCTGCAGGAAACCTCACGAGAATCGTGGCAGTGGCAGACCACGGGAAGTAGGCCAACTTCCTGGTTTGTGTATACTACACCTGAAGTTCCTAGAACTGAGTTTTATTCTTATCTTGTTGCTGCAAATTGCTGTTTCATCGTGGAGAGCATAGGGTTCTCTTTATGCATTCCGCTTGCTTTGTGTTGCGTTTCCTTCGTCTTCTCAGATTTCGCCTCAGGAACGCAGTTTCATCCTGGAATCGTTTATTTCGAGTGCAATGCATGGCCAAGCATCCCGCATTCGTTTTCGTTAGTTCTTCTTGCTTGCTGCTTGCCTGTTCATGGCGGTCATGTCCACATAGGAATGAGGAACGTTTGGAAATGTTGCATATACGCTTGTGCCAACGAGTCCGGTGCTGTATGGGCAGTTCCACTCTTTCAACCATGTGTATCTCTTCCATTAGACACTACGCGATAACTGCTGAGCAAAGATGACCACGGGCAGACTCAGCAGCAACAGCAACAGCGGATGCAGCAGCCTAACCAACTGGGAGCGGTTGCTCCAGCGGAGAAGGCATGATGAGATACGAAGTTGCGCCATGCATCTGCATGAACGTACTTCTGTCCGTCACTGCATTCAGAATGCATATTTGACTCTGCATTCTCTCATGCATTTCGCTTTGCTCCACATGTTCAACGGGCGCATATAACGTAAGCCTCCACTCGTACATGCGCGAAGGAGCAGGTTGTTAGATCGACGCACGCATAGTGTAGACAGTCCAGCTGGTCCTAACGCTGCATGTGCATACTTGCTCCTTTAGAATGCTCGTGATTCCGCAGAGTCGCGGGCACCTGGGGATTTGTCGCTTATCGTTTGTTTTGACCCACAGCAGCTTCTGCTATGCCTGCTGCGCCTATGCAACTACACTGTGAGGCCTGGAACTTCTACGTGAAAAGGTTAACTTCATACAACTGTTTGGGGATGCTGGCATTTGTTCGTACTACGAGCAAGTGGGTGCTGGATAGCAGGTTTGTTAACACTGCGTCGTATACACACGCGCGTCTGCATTTGGGTATATGCATCGGCCTGGGGGGATGAATTTCAGTTCAGTTCCACTTGTTAAAACTTTAAGAGCCATAAAAGGTTTTATTCTTTGGTCTTTTCATATGCCAGATTCGCCGCGCGCGGCCCCGGATGTTCGGACGCCCGCGGCTCTCGTAAAAAACCCTCACGAACAAAGCACTCCGACAGCGCAGCTGCTCCTGTTGCTGTTGCTTTTGCTGCTGCTGCTGCTGCTGCTGCTGATGCTGCCGTTGTTGCCGCTGTTACAGCGGCAGCAGTGCCTCTCGAAGCAGCGCCACCTACCTCTTTGCTTTGTCACGCATCTCCAGTTGCTTGTTAACCCAGTCCGACAATTACTTAAGCAGTACTCTTAATTCATAAAGAATACTCTTTTCATATCAGTGAAGCCGGGAGGGCTCAGGAGGGAGGAGCGAAGGGCAGCGTCTGGTAAGCTGGGGGAGGCTGCTGCTGCTGCTGCTGCGCATCGTCGTAAGGATGCTCTAGCTGGTGCGACTCCAGCTGCTGCTGTTCTTCGAGCTGGTGCTGCTGCTGCTGCAGAAGCTGTTGGTGGTGCTGCAACTGTTGCTGCTGCTGCGTGTGCTGTTGTTGCTGCAGCTGTTGTTGCTGCTGCAGTTGTTGTTGCTGCTGCTGCTGCAGCTGTTGTTGCTGGACCAGCTGCTGATGCAACCCCACAGGCCAAGCAGCGGAAGCAGCAGCAGCTTGCGCCGCAAATGGGGAATATCCGGGCAGTGCGTGGAGTGCGCTCCTGGCTATACTCAGTAAGGGGTGTTGCTGCTGCTGTTGCTGTTGCTGCTGCTGTTGCTGCTGCTGTTGCTGCTGAACGTTGTACATTTCAGCCTGCTGCTGCAGAGCCTGCAAAACAGCACGACCTTGCTCAGACACCGGGAACGATATTCCTATTCCATGCTGCAGCGCCGCTCTCGCGCTTGCTGCTTGCAGGTGCAGCAGCAACTGTTGCTGCTGCTGTTGCAAGTGCTGATGCGGCAACGGATGACTAAACTGAGGCCGCTTCACCAGAGGAGAAAGAGCGCGCGGGGTTTGCTGCTGTTCACCGTGTAGCAGCTGCTGCTGCTGCTGCCGCTGCTCTTGCTGCTGCTGCTGCTGTTGGCCAGCAAGCTGGGCGCACTCTTGTGCCAGCGCAGCAGCAGAAATTGCAATACTTCGGAGTTTCTCCCCAAGCGCTTCATTGGTTGCAGTGGTGCTGCTGCTCTCTTTCCCCAGCAGTTTCTGTTGCTGCTGCTCCAGCTCGTCTCTTGCCTGTCTTGCTGCTGCTGCTGCATCTTCCTCTAGCTGATCGGTAACCTTGGCTTGACGCAGCAGCTGCTGCAGCACCTGCTGCAGCTTTTGCTGCACCCTTTCACTCGATCTTCGCTCCGACGTGCTCTCCGCCTCATCTTCCGGTCCTTGCTGCTGCAGACGGTGCAGCAGCTCATTGCAGCAGCTGTACAGCTGCTGACGGCTCTCCTGCGCTGCTGCTCTTGCATTTCTTCCCTTCCTCTCTGCTGCTGCAACGCGGTGTCGCAATGCAGCAAGAGGGTCACCACCCGAATCGCGGCGTGCTGCAGCGGCGCCCCGCTGTTGCTGCAGATGCTGCTGGTGCTGCTGCTGCTGCTGCTGCTGCGGCTGCTGCTGGGGCATTTGCTGCTGTGGCATTTGCTGCTGCGGCACTTGCTGCTGAGGGTGCTGCTGCTGCAGGTCTAGCAGCCCAGAAGTAGACTCGGGAGTGGTTGCTGCTCCCCACCCCGGCGACTCTGCTGCACCCCTCGCTTTGGTTCTAAGAGGCCTCCCCCTAGCTGATCTCCTCTGGAGCTGCTGCTGGTGCTCCTCCATCTCTTCATCGCTGATTAACTCGTTGTGATGGGGCTGCCTGCCGCGTCTCCTGTGCACGGGGCGTTTCCCTTGCTGCTGCTGTTGCTGCTGCTGCTGCGGGGTCTGATGCTGATGCAGCTGCTGCTCTAGCAGCACCTCGATGTCCTCAGGAGAAGATGAAGTCCACTTGGGCGGCTGCTGCGGAGGAAGAATGCTGTCGGGATCGAGCGATCCCAGCTCCTTCTTGGCCTTTTGCAGAACCCGCAGGAAATCCAAATACAATTCCCCGTATGTTTTGTACATGTCTTGTCTCTTCTCCAAGACAAAGGCTACGCTCCGGCTCTCCCCTGAGCTGCTGCTGCTGCTGCTGCTGCTCGGAACAAGCCGCACGAGACGAAGGAAACGCGCAGGGGATCGCGTGTTGAAAGTGGCGGAGTGCAGCGTCTGAGGACAGAACAACAGCAGCAGGAACAAGCAATACAGCAGCAGCAAAAAAAGTAAAGGGAAATGACGCAGCAGCAGCAGCAACAACAAGCAATGCAGCAGAGCCAACAGCACCAGCGGAATCCGTCAACAGCGAGACAAAAGTTGCAGCTGCAACGCGAGCATGAGAGGCAAGCCAGCAGCAGCAGCACGACAACCAACTACAGCAGCAGCAGCAGCAGCAGCAGCAGCAGAAGCAGCAGCCTTGCCTTGAAGAGAGCAATCAGGTGTATATCCATCTTCTCTCTTGGTTCCAAGAACACCAAAAAGCCGCCAGAAGACCCAAAGGAGTTTCGCGCAGACTCTGCGGGGGAAGGAGACGCCGAGCCCCTGTCGTTTTCTCTTGCTGCTGCTGCTGCAGCTTCCGTTGCTGCTGCTGCTGCCTCTGCCTGTACACCCCCTTCTTCCTTTGCCCGCTGCTGCCTAGTCAGCTGCTGATTCTGTACACCAGGCCTCTCTAGCTTCGCCTCTCTTTCCTGCTGTTCCTGCTGCTCCTCCTCCTGTTGCTGCTGGGGCTGTTCTGACTGAGCGGAGTAAGCTTCTGAGGAAGACCCGCGTCCTGCACCCCCGTCTCCGTCACTCCCTTTCGAAGCAGCAGCAGCAGCAGCAGCATGCTGCTGGCTACGCTGGTGCTGCTGCAGCAGCAGCGCCAGCCCGTCAAACCAGTCCACCAGATCCCTGGGTATCCTCAGATCATCTTTCCAGTTCAATGACCCCGTGAGCGGCAGCAAACAGCAAAAGCTATCCAAGGTGCTTTTCAACAACACGTACTTCGCGCAGCCCGCAAACGCTCCTGCTCCTGCTGCTGCTGCTGTTGCTGCTGCTGGTGCCCCTGGTGCTGCTGCTGTAGCTTGAGAGGAAGCGGCACCCAGAGAGAGAGAAGCAGCTGGAGAAACTCCCGTCGAAGCAAAGCCCTGCTGCTGCTCCTGCTGGGTGTCAGGAGGACTGCGCCGCGTGTAAGCAAAAACAGGAGTAGCAAGAAACCTCAGATTGGTGCTGCTGCTCCCCATATCTCTGGCAGCAGGTGATGCGGTATCTTCTGCCTGCGGTTCCCCTTGCTGCTGCTGCTGCTGCTGCTGCTGCTGCTGTGGTTGCTGCTGCATTTCAAAATACTGTGTCCCTTTTTGCAGCTTCAGGAATTCCAGCTTCCCGCTGTCGTGGAGGTACCGAAGCACTGCTGCAGCAACATCGCCGCCGCTGCTATAGAAGGCTTTAACAGCACACGGGACAGCAGCAGCAGCAGCTGGTGTAGTGCCATGAGCTGCTGCTCTTGCTGCTGCTGCTGCTGCTGCTGCTGCTGCTCGAGCTGGAGAGAGATGTGAACTGGCGCCCGCTGCTGCTCCTGCTGAAAGGGATTCATAGGGAAGGCTATTATTTCCTTCCCGCTGCAGCTCAGCCTGCTCTACTAAGCCGGATGTAGTAGCTTCCTGTGCTGCTGCTGCTGCTGCTTCGGTTGCTGCTGCTGCTGCTGCCGCGTCCCCTGGTGATATACCTGCATCTGCATCTGCTGCTTCTGCTTCTGTTTGTTCTGCGAGGGGCCAGGGACTGTTCTCTGCTCCTCCAATAGCAGACAAGGCTGCTTCGCTGCAGCACTCCAAAAGCAAGAATCTCCCGCTGTCTGTTGCAGCTACACAGCAGAAGCAGTTGCCGCACCTGCTGCTGCTGCTGCTTCTGCTGCTGCTGCTGTTGCTGCAGCAACAGGGGGGAGGGGACGATGCGCTGCACTTGAATCTTGCCTCCAAACAGGAGAGAAAGACGTGGGGAACCAGTGGTCTGCTGCCGTGTCCAGCCTCAACACAAATTTGCTGGTGCTGCAGCTCGAAGCCGGGCAGGGCCCGCAGCAGCAGCGCAGCAGCAGCAGCAGGAGAGAAGGAATTGAATGCAACTAGGCGGTCCTGATGCGACCGATAGAACCGTCTCCATCTCTCTGCGTGTGCCTCAGCTGTCACGGGGACAAGCCCTTTGCTACTACTAGAGCTGCTGCCGGGGGTGCCCCGCTGCTGCTGCTGCTGCTGCTGCTGCTGCAGTGTTGCCTCTGTGTACAACTCGAACTCCAGGGACGGGTCTGCGCCTCCTGCATGCAGCAGACTGTAATTTCGCACTCGCCGGCATCTTCTTTGGGACCGACCACGTGTTATGCCTTCTGCTGCTGCTGTGTTTACTGCTGCTGTGTCTGCTGCTGCTGCTGCTGCCTGGTCCTCCGCATCATCGTCTTCGTCGTGAGTGCATGCCGCTGCTGCTTCCCTCCCCCCGGTGTCTCCTTCTCCCTTGTCGCTACTGGTGTTACTGATGCTTCTGCTTCGGCGGCGGCCTCGTTTTGCTGCTGCTGCTGCTGCACCTGAAGGAGAAGTAACAGCTGCTGCTCCTGGCGTCTGAGCCCTGAAGCTGCCGCGTCTCTTTCCCCGCAGTGCCCCCCGGGTAGCCGGAGTGCCGTTGTCGTTGGGGGGTGCCCCGTGGGCACCGCTGCTCCTGCTGTGGTAGCGGTTGCCCCAGGGCGCCGCAGCAACTGCAGACTCTTCTTCAGTGTCGCTGCTGCTGCTGGGAGTCGCCGAACCCGAGTCTCCGCTATGTCCGGCTGTTGCTGCTGCAGGCTGTTGCTGCAGTGGACCCCCGCTGCGGCTGAGGGCTCCTCGACCCCACGGTCTGGGGGCAGACTTTGCCGCTGCTGCTAATTTGCGGGTAGGGTGGACGCCTGCAGCAGCCGCTGGTGCGGCATCCGCTGCATCTCCAGCAGTGGCAACAGAAGGAACAGCAGGAGCTGGTGCCGCGTCTGCTGCTGTTGTCGTATCCATCTTGGCTGCTGCAGTGTCTTGCAGCTCTGCCTCAGGGGGCCCGAGGGGCCCCCAGAGGCAAAGCTGTATCACGGAGGCAGCCGCGCCAGCTGCAGGAGTTAAGACGGTCTCTTTGGATGACGCAAAGGAAAATCTTGAGTCAAAACTTGTTTAATTAGGTTCATGGACAGTGCTGAGGTGTTCCCTCGTGCGGTGGTGCCAGCTGTGCTGCGGCTGCTGCTGCTGCTGCAGCTGCAGCAGCGTTAGGTGCTGCTGATGTTTGTGTCTTCACGCAGCTTCCTCCAGCTTGCCCGCCTAAATGCGTCTCATTGAGGATTAATAAACCAAACCTGTGCGCAAGTGAGGGCGGGAAATATCGAAAAAGCAGCTCTGTGGGGTGTACCTACACGGTAGTATTGGGTGGCTGGAGGTGCTACAGCTGCGTCCGCTTTGATTTTCCTGCATAAAAGAACTATATGCCCACTTACATCCCCAAAACTTTCGAATGAATCAAAGGCATGCAAAGGAAACATTGTAAATATATTGTATGGACCCAACTGCTTCGCGTAATTCCCCTTACCCCCAAGAGCCGTGGTATGCTCTGCCTGGAGCTGTAGCCGTATTCGTACTTGCGTGCATGTTGGCTACTGAGAGCCAATCGAATGCTAAAAAGTAGTTTACGTCATTCTTGTGTGCGTGAAGAGGGGGGATTCAGTGCGCTTACATGGGGGAATCAATTGCGATCTGAGGGTACCGGGGTTGTTCTCTGTTGCGCTTGCTTTCCGGCGTTGTTCAACGACGAAAGCGAGCTGCACAGAGCTTAAAAACTTGGTGAGAGTTTCACCAAAGCAGATGACTTCCTCTCCCTGTCTCGAGGCATCCTGCGCGTTCAGTTCAGCGCCTAGGGGAAGCGGGGGAGAAGGCAGCCTGAGAGGAGTTGTAGCGCACCTTGCTGCAGCTGGCGGTGCAGGCGAGGCTCACCTGTGCAGGCATGCTTTAGCAAAGCTTCGCATGCTTTACCTCCATATACACTTACGGTGCTCTTGTATTCGCTTGGAGGCAACATACAAAGGCCAAATAAATGCTCTTGTGCTAACTGCACGCAGACCACGTTACACCTTCGCTGTAAGCTGAGCACTGTTGTGAGTTGCAGTGGTGTCAAAATACTTAACATGTAAGTTTTCGGGAGACTGCTGACCCATATTCTAACAACAGCTTCACACCTAGCGGCTGCAGAGGGCGCCGTAGATGATGTAGGTGTTCCTACACATTCCGGCCGAAGGCAGCACATCCTACACCTATATATCCATCAATTCCTTTTTGGCTGGCCCCAACAAATTGTAGTTCACCTGGCAAGCGCATGCACGAGCTCAAAATGCGCACAGGTGTACTCTACTTTGCAAATGCGGGTATGGAACGCCGTATTGCGTCTATCCCCGTGACGAATAGAGGTTAGGCATGCAGTAGATGAAGCTTCGTTAAAGCTTCCTTGTGCTCACATGCGAGGCTGGCACGTACCACCAGCTGTAGCGAAGTGCACTTCAACTCTTCTTAGCAACCCCGCGCCCTGAGCTGAACATCCAGGATGCCGGGGGACAGGGGACGGATGACAGCTGCTCTGGGGGGGAAACACTTACCTCACGTCTTTGGCTTCACTGCAGGTCGCTTCTGTCTTTGAGTAAGGCCGGGGAATACGCACTACATTTGAAACCGCTGAATAGGCGGCACCTCCATTTTTCTTCGCCAACAACGGTGTATTTCCAAACTTGCCAGTTGACAGCTGAACGTTGCCTACTCTGTACTTCTTCAAGTCGCCCCTGGATTTCTCCTTCACGGCGTGAGGGCCACCGGTACCTTGGAACGGCGCTTGCGGCCTGTCGATGAATGAGTTGGATGGGATACACTGGACGTGCAGCGGGCGGCCTGCCCGCTCGTAGCCCTTACTTAGTACGCTTTATGGGCCGTTTCCAAGCCCCCGGTCTTCTGTTTACAGCTATGGCTATGAAGGTGGCACTTTCTCTTTCTTGTATGGGAAGGTGCTCCGTCAGCTCAGGTACTCCGTCCATCCCGTAGTTACCTCTCCGCCATCCACCGGGCTGCCGGTCGCCTCTCTGCCGGCGATAGCCATGGTATGAACCATCAGTACAAAGCTGGACAGTCCGCCATTGGAGATATTGGGACAAAGGAATGATACATCGCTATCGACAGTTTCCCTTGTTTAAGTTTTCTCAGTTTGGCCACAGTCTGTTCACTTGCCAACCTGGAAATTAACTTACATTGCAGCGCATCTAGGAAGACTTCTACGGCATAGTGCCCTTGCTCCGAAGTAACCAACACCGAGCGTACCCTTCTAGTAAAGAGGATGCCAGAAACAACTGTAGCTCTTCGGATGCATCTTGAGGACTCAGCTACAACTCGACATAACGGGCGAGAACCTCTGTATCGCAGCACGCGCCATATTTGCACGGTGCACAAAAGCGAGGGCATTCTTCAGGAATTGTGTAGAGCGCTTTCTCCTGGGTGGGATACAGATACTTTACACATCTCGACGTGACAAGTCTCCCAACCGTTGGTCACTTTCCCGCTTGATAACATATCGTGATCGAACTCCATTGTGCCAGAGAGCCAAGCGCTGATCTTGTGGTGAAAATTCTAGGAAAATGATGACTGACTCTTTTACGGCATTCGATCAAGGCGCCTTCCCTTTTAATGAGTGTTAGGCTGCCTGTTTTCCCCAAATTTGCGGCCCCCGTGTGCCCCGACGACTTCTGCAGTGCTATCAAGTGTATGAGGAATCCTCAATACCTCGCCAACAGATTAGAATTACATAAGAGCTTCCAAAAAGAATCTGACCCCCTCTCCTGTCCCCATTTGGCCTGAGCTCCCCCACCGTAGGTCCTGGCTCCGGGGAGAGTCGGCAGTCTGACCCACGCTGCCGCACGCTTCGCTGCAACTATCGCTACAAGGAACTCCCACCTGCATGTACTGACACTATATACAATTGTTGAACGCTTACATGGCCTCCCATAGTCAGCCTGCAAACCAAGCAACTAAGGATATAAGCGTCAACTATTACATATAATGCCGCCGAACGGTTGGTAAGGAGGCCGAAACGTTCTACTGATACAAATTCGTTCTCATGAAGGATATACGAGATGTTCTCCTGACACATCCAAAGTACTTATATTGCATCGTGAGCTTGGAGTCGTGTACTACGGAAGCTCACGATCGGCTCCTCCGTAGCCGGTCAGCAGCGAAAGAGTTCCATTAGTCGTTGGCGCTCAGGAGCAGCTGTATAACGCTTGCTCTCTGGCATTAATAAGGGGCGAGCAACCGCGCTGCACTGTAAATAAAGGCTTAAAGTAAGAGTTTCGCAATAGCAGCCGACGTCCTCTCCCTGTCCTCAGAACTCCGGCTGATGAAACAAGCCAGCCTCATGCATCCACACAAGAAAGTTTCGCTAAAGCTTCCTTTGCTGCATGCTTTACCTCTGAATGTAATTACAGAACGTTTGTATTTGCTTACACACAACCTACCGAGACCAAGGGAGGGCTCTGTGCTAACTGCAGCCAGACCATGCTACAAGCTCAACAGTAACCATAAAATATCCCGCTGTTCTAAGTCTCATAAGGCCCTGCAATGTGTTTTGTGCCAGTATAAAGGAGACAACATTCTTATAGACCGGCCTTTCGTAGCGGCAGCGAGCTTCAGTGTAGTGGACAGCTGACTCTCCGGTTACTACTGTTCTGTTCTATGCTCAGCTTGAAGGTCCATATAAACGCTACATTCCGTGTAATTTCCTAAACTAGCCAGATATACCAAAGAACACTCTCTTATTCTTATCAGAGTCACAACCTCCTAGAAGAAGAATAGTAATTGTTCTCCCACCCCCTTGATCCCATAGTGCCTCTTGCTAAACCCCATATGGCCGCCGAGCGCTCTTAGCCTGCAGGCCCTATTCCCCGCATGAATTTACTTAGTTTATTTCTAATAAGGCGTTATTTACATTATGTTCGCTTAGTAGATATCTAGAGGTCTCATTTGAGGTCCTTCCTAGTGCTTGTGAACTACAGTCAGCCCCATTACATGCGGCCAGCGGGTTGCTCTTGTTGTATGGTCTGCAACTACTCAACTACAGGCAGAAATACAATTTATTGCTTCTGGGGTTTACCCACGAACTTTTTTCCCTTGCTTCTGTTCCGGCTGTTTGTAGGGGAGGTTCCGCTAAACATTGGCGATCTGTTCCGTTCTTCTTCCTTTCTGCCTGTTTGCTTGTGCTCGACTGCTAGAAATGCGACACTGGGTCTCAACGTTGTTTGTCTTTATGCCTCTTGGTCCCCTTCTTTAGTCATTTATCGAGCACGAACACTGCGTGCAGTTTCTTTGCGTCCGATGGTTGCCCGTGCGCGGCGCTTCACCCTTTTCAACGTTCCCACCCAAAGCGCAGACCTTTTGACGCTTTCAGAGGGCCTTCAGTTTCCCTCGGATTCGTTGCATTACGCTGATTTTGTTGTGAGGGGGTGAACTGATTTGCCGTAGCCGGCGGCTGCAGGTATTCATTGGGACCACAAGAGCAGTTGGGAGGGGGGCACACGTTTTGCTAGAAGGCCTCGCAGCCTGTCGGTAAGGAGGCCACTGCTCTTTCACTTCCATGGCATCCAGGGAGGCCGACACTGCCGTAGATGCAGGCAGTACATCATCTTCTCCTGAAGAAGCAGAGTCCTCTGCTCGGTCGCGCTGCACTGCAGAAGAAGCAGCAACTGGGGATAATTCACGACTGCCCCGAAGCTTGTTTCGGTCGGGGATCCGTTCTCTCCACTCCTTGAGGCGTCTGAAGGACCTAGAAGATGCCGATGCAACTCTAGGTGCTACGGAGGAGACGGCTTCATCTAGCCGTCCTCCTCCCCCCGAGGCCACCTCTACAGGTCCACAGGAAGCCACAGGGGATAAGGAAGGAGATACCGACAGCGAGGATGACACCTTGGAGGTTGTGAGGAGCATGAAGGACCTGCAGCGCATGCGGGGGGGTCGGAGAAAGGGTCTAGACGCTCGCTTGGCCCTAGAGGAAAAGGCTCAGGGAGAAGGTGAAGAAGAGGCAGAAGACGCCGGGGGCCTCCTCGAAAAGAACTTCGCCGCAGGAGGCCCTGGATCCGTGACCGATAAACACCTGTACGGCTAGGGAATGGCCAGCTTAGGGTTTAGAGCCTGTTGTTGAGGATTCGGACACATTTGCTAGCTCAGCGTCGTTTGAGAGTATTTCGCGCTAGATAGGCGTCCGGAGTTAGCAACTTGATTTTTGGTTCCGTTGCCATTTTGTGTGCTTGTTTATGTCAGAGAAGAGTTTTTGCGCGAGCGTATGAAGGACAAACAACACGAAACCCGCGAGCAAAAGGCCCTGAGGGAGCACGATATGATAGACAGGATGAGGGATTTGTATGCTATTCCCGACCACTTGAAGGTGATTTATAGACACACGTTTTGTATTAGGTTGTTGAAGATGAAGAGTAGCAGGCTGCCAACCGTTATGTTAAAAGGATCCCTCAAATGCTGCGTTTATGGTTTGCGCGGACCTACCTGCACTTCTGCATATTCCGCCAGGTTTCTGGTTTGCTTTTTACTCTGTAGACGTTGTGGTGACTACTGTGGCAATCTCAGGTTGCAGACAAGACGGAGGAGTACAAGGATCAGATGAATTGGGTCACAGGTCTTGTCGAGGTAGAGCTTCCAATGGAGTGAGTGTATATTTTGTCTTTTTGCTAGATTACCCATTATTTTAAGGCTGCTTCATTGTGCCGGTTCACATTGCTCCCAGGCGTATCACATGGATACGTGCAAAAAGTGCTTGCAGGTATCATCTGCTATTCGATATACCACGGCGTGAAATGTGGTGCGTCGGTTGTGTGGCAGAACGAAGCTGAAAAATATTGAGGCGACGGAACGAGCAAAGCGCCAACTGCTGCGGAAGGGACTGCTGGAGGAAGCGTGAGTTTCGGACTTGTGCTTGCTGCCCTGATGATTTCGTTCAAATTTGCACAGACCCAGTGCCCAACTTTTTTATTTTATTAGGATTGACCACAGATAATGCTAACAGTTTGCTTCTTACTTAGTTAGGAGGGTCAACATCCTACACGTGCACGGAACCCTTCTCAGAACGCCTCTCATGTGCAGGCGAGTGACTATTTTGTCAATGTTCCTGCAGAGAGGAGAATCCAGAGGATCCAGATGTTGTCCGCAAGACGGCGTTTGGTCAGAGATACACATGGTACATTCCCGACTATCAGTTTCGCAAAAGAAATGGGCAACAGGTGCGTCTACGCAGTGTTACTTCATTCGAGGAGGCTTGGCCCATGGGCAGTCAGCTGCCGTTGCACTGAAGTGTAGCCCAACTTTTTCTGCTGATTTGTACTTGGATGCCCCGTTCAGTTTGTAATGACTTTTGCTTTTTGCGTGTGAACAACTGCAGGCTCAGAAGGCTCGTGACGGGCACGAGGTCAAGCAGTTTGCCAAGAGGACGAAGCGGATGAACGAAGGCAGAGGCAGAGTGGGCGTTGCGCCAATGTAATGTCGTGAATCGACGGATAGTCTTCAGACGGATTTCAAAACAAGGGCCACGTGAAATTGGGAAAGCTTGCAGAGCCAGGAATGTCCTTCAAAGAAGATACGCATTAACGATACCCCGATCTTGCCTTTTTTGTTGCTAAGGCGGACACTAGACGGTGCTCCGGCTGTTGTGACAATAGGTGGGATTTAGGAAAGCGCGTGCTCGCTCTTTCACTGGGTATACAGCTGGTGCAGGCGCGAGTTTGCGAACAGAGGCTCTCGGAAACGCAGACTTGGAGGGGGCACAAATGCCGCCTTGAAGCTGCATAAATAGCAGACATATGTTGTTTTCTTAAGGTTATACTCATTTTTCCAGATGTCGAATGCGCAGTACAGGGCGTGAATGCCTTTCGCTGTGGATTACGCGCTACTGCGAGAAAGGCAGGCTTTTCTCAAACTCTAAGAATGCAGATGTACGGTGGAGTAGAAGAACCCTGCTGCACGAAGTTGCAGAGTGGTAGTTACACTCCATATAGAGTTTCGAGGCGGAACAAGATCTGCAGGATATTTCTTTTGGTTTGTGTTCGTAGTCATTGACCATAAAGAGTACGACATTCGCACTGTACTGAACACACAAGCCGCGACAGTACATCAGCTCAGAACACCAATATCGGCGCGACTCGTTCAGTTCTATCAGCGGAAATACAAGTAAACTGCATGTGGCTAGACAATGATACTGGAGTTGCCGCCGAAGCTTTAGCCAGCTAGCTTCTGCCAATCCAAAGACTAGAGGAGAATCGTGGTAAGCATGGTTTCCCCTCGAATACAAGCGGGTGAAGATCACTGGTTGAGGACGGTCCTGCCACTCCCTCACGAGACGCTGGACGCCACTTCGGTGGCTCTTCACGAATGCAGCGTTATGCATGATGCCAATTGACCGTAAAGCTTGCGCGGAGGCCCCCCGGCCGTAGCAACATGCAACAAAGTAGGTCAGGTGCTCAACTGACTGCAATGGCTTCAGTGAAGCTGGAGACATTATGTGATCTGCTACATCCAAGCCCTCCAGTTTCCGTCACTCAATAGTACAACGTCTAAAGAGCCGGCGTGTTCTGCCCCTCGTTGCAGCTCCAACGGTTTGCTGTCGCGTCTGCATAGGCAGCATGCCATACCGGAAACATATATCTCCCGAAATATGTTTTGAGGCATTCAGTCACGCGCTACGCCAAATACTTGAAATTCGTGAACAACGAAAGCCAGGAGGTTGGTGCTTTTATCCTGAAGCGCTGTGCAGACACCGGCCATAGCCAGTAACAACGGCAACGGAGAACGTGAAAGAACCTGTACAGGATGCATTCACGTTTGATCACCCCACACTGCGCACACAACTGAAAGAAGACTACCCGCACTGCAGTTAGAAGGCAACAGATGTCCAGCATTTCTTGTGAACATTGCTTGTCCACGTATCCTGCAGTGCCCAAACTAGTCCTGCTAGCTGTACTGCCAGCAGCATATCTGGTTGACGCATGTGCCCCTTTGCCACGGTAAGCCCACTAAGCCACTGAATGCCAACCAGTCAAACTGTGAGGTTTCCACAGAAGAGAGCTTGCCCACACAAAACCTTTTCACTAGGCAACAGCTAATTAGGAACGCCGCTAATGCTCTCTGTCTGGAGCTGAATCACAGCCTGTGCAGCCTTTTTCGGCCGGCAAGCTGAAAAGGGACCACTGCAAAGGCGAGGGCTGCGGGCGCCCGAGCTCTACTGAAGACTGCTTTTGGCAGCTTCAGTTGGCTTCTGCACAATGCGTGACAATCCCCAGGGAGTGGGCGGTCCCGCAAGGCGCCCCCCGTAAATATCCAAGCTGAGTTACCATTCAAATTGAAAGATTCAGCACGGCACCACAACAGGAAGTCATATGCTCCCAGGCTGTAACTGATCCGTACGCGTCCTGCGCAACGGGAAAATGACGCACCCGGAACATCCACAACCTGGAAAGGCTTGCCACATCATACCAGCAAAATGAACTAGTCGCATACGAACAGCAGAGCGGTGCAAACGGCCGAGGAAGGCTCCTCTAAAGGTGGAGGCTGCCACGGTAACTTGCTTGACAGATGCGCTCACGGGACCTGACCAGCTCCGACTGATACAGAAGTCAACGCAGCCCCCTGGAGAAGCACTTATGTACAGGCGAACTTCTAAAATATAGCATTTAAACGGCGGAACTTGGCACTGTGTATGATTGAGAACGTAGTCAACGAAAACAGAGGATGCGTACGAGATGCATAATGTATGCATGTGGATCACGGGTGTGCTTACAGCTGCAGATGAAGCTGCTGTTGGCGTCGTTGAGAGTCCTTCTGTTAGGAAGATTGATGCTGCAGCGCCAACTATCAAGGGAAGAACTGAAAGACAGGCAACCTGCCAGTTGCGCCAACTGTCGTTTGCACGGTAGAAAGGCGACGATTAGGACGCTGGTGTCTCTGTCTGCGCCTTCCTGCAGCAAGTCTCCGTTGGCCTGTCTGCAGTGGTCCCTCCGCCTCAGGTCCACCGCCTTCTTGGCTTACAGGTTCGCTCACCCAGGACCCGGCGCTAGGCCCTGACGCAACTCCGCATGATTCGGCTGACCGCGAGCTTGCGTGCCGCCCCGCCATGCTGGCAGGTTCACCGCAGGGTCTCGCGCCGCTGCTACTGTGGGCAAGAAGCCCCCCGAAGTCCCACAAAGGGGGCCTGCTGTTAATTACACCTAGCTGCGTAGACGCCCCTGATGTCTGGCTGCGAGACCCTAAATTAGCGGCCCCGCTGGCAGTACTCTGACTTGTGTTGATGCCCCCCGTCGATGGAGTGAGTGAAGAGCGTTTCAGACGCTGAGCCCTCCTCCGCCTGACAGATCTTTCAGCTCCATTTATCCTTTCTCGGTGTCTTGCCCTCAACGCCGCGCCCGAAGATAATCCGGCAACAGCACCCACGATTGCCCCCACAGCCGCTCCAATGGGACCACCGGCTACTGCGCCGACGCTCACGCCAAGAAGAGCAGCGGCACTGCCTCCTTGGACCCCCCACCAACGTGTTTTGCTGCGTGCTGCAGTAGCTAGCTCTCCCACTCCTGATGCAGTGTGGTCTGCTGCAGCTTCCGTTTCTTCTTCTACAGCATGCAGCCGCTGATTACCTCTCTCTACGTCTGCTGCGACATGCAGCTGCAACTCTCGCAGTACAGTGACGCAGTGTTCTACCTGCTGCAGCTGATGCAGCTGTTGCTTCCTCTCAGTGATGATTTGTTGCTTCTCGTAGTCCTCGTGCACTTCAATCAAAGCTGCCGGTTCCCACAAACCGTCCTGAAGGGAGCCATCTGCAGCACTTGTTCGCGTGTCGCTGGGGCCAATGAACAAGGGAGGGAGGGCTCCAGTAGAGTCCTGAGGCCACACGCCTCCTCCTGCGGGCTGTAGAGAGCTGTTGCCAGTTCTTACTGAAGAAGTACCAAAATGGTCGCTTTCGGAGCCCCAGATGATGCTTTGGGTCTCCCGCCGTCTCTGAGGATCCTCAAAGTGAAGACAATCCACTGGCAAGCTGCACGGAGAGCCCTGATGGCCCCTGTGCCAAATAATGCGAGCAGGGCCGCCGGCAGGAGCTGGTCCTGAAAGATTACTTCCAAAGTTGCTGCTGGTTGTGTTGCTGGCGCTGCTCGCTGTTGCTGCTACATCGTGTTGGTGAGACGGTTCGGGAGGCTCACAAAGCAGATCAGCCGCAGAACTCAACAGCCGTACTAGCCGTGAGTACTGTTGCTGCTGCTGCACAAAGTCACGCCGCAATTTGCCCAGCAACAGCTCGCTGCCTGCAGCAGCAACATCACTTGAAGGTGAGTCAACAAGCAGAGAGTGTAGACGAGAGTGTAGGGAGTGGCAAACAACAGCGCCCTCTGCAATTAACCGCCGCAAAAGCTTTGCCTCCTCCAGATGTTGTTGGTGTTGTTGCTGTTGCCAATGATGCTGCTGCCGCACGGAGGTACTCTTGTTTGTCAAAGGCTGCCCGCACGAGCCGACCCACGTAGACCCCAGGTATTGCTGTTGCTGCTCTGGGCTATCGCCCTCGAAATTTCTCGATTGCTGCTGCTGCACAAGCTTCTGCAGCTGCTGCAGCTGCCGCTCTGTCCGCTGGACGAAACCGGCATAGTCGCGTAGCAGCAGTGATATGTCAGAAGCAGAGAGTAGTGGAATGCGTTGCTTCCTCTCAGCATCACCCCTCTCGTTGCTGCAGTTGTCCACGTTGCTCCCGTTGTTGCCGCTCTTCCCATTGCTGGCACTACTGCTGATATCGGTGCCGCGGGAACTGATGCTTCTGCAGTCACCTTCGTTGGGCTTCTTTGAGGCCGCCCAGGAGTGGCTTGCCGCTGCTGAGCCCGGTGAGGGCAGGGGAATCACGTAGTGGCCATCACTGGGAGTGGGGTTATTGTCCCGGCTGCTTTTGATGCCACCGTTGATGGTGCTATCGTTACTTCCAATGCTGCTCCCGCCACCAGCACTGCTGCTCCCGCTGCAGCGAGCGCCGCTACTGCCACTGTTACTGCTGCTGGCTGCCTCTACTTCATTAAACTTCCGCGAAACGTCTTCTCCGAAGCTGTTTGGAAAGGGAGCCGAAGCTGCCCCCAGAGAACGGGAGGTTGCTGTGGCGCTGCTACCTGTGCTGTTGTTGCTTGCGCTGACCCCGCCACTGCAACTGCTGAAGTTGCTGCTGCGGGTAGAAGTGCTATGCTCGCTATCGGGATGCGCCGGTCCGCTGCGCAGGCTCTGCGTCTGGTAGCCGTCGACGGTGCGTGTGGCAAAAGAGTACCGAACCCGCCCTTTTAGGACCAGTGGACTCGAAGTTTGTGATGGCAGTTGGTCCTTGCGGCGCTGATCCCGGTGATGAATCTGCTTCTCGTCCTGCTGTTCCTGTTGCTGCCCATATCTAAACCCAAATGGTTGTGAAGGGTATGTGCTGTCCCGAGGGTTTTGGGATTCACTGGCACCCTGGAAGGAGACCACGACAACTGGCGGAGCTGCAGGGGCGTGCGGAGCTGCTGTAGATGTTTCGTGAGCAGCATTCAAATCCGTCTCCCTCGATGTGCCCTCAGCAAGCAGATGCTGCATCATAAGCTGCTGGAAGCAGAGGGCTGGCTCAAGAAGGCTACAGCTGCTGGCACTGCCGCGGTAGTGCCACGCCCTATTGTGTACCTTGAATTTGAGTTTGGAAGTCAGTAAATACCACAAATGAATAAATTCAGAGACAATTTAGCCTAATCATCCCTTTATGTAAGGCTTCACCCAAGCTTCGTGCGAAACAGGGATTGGTAACGGTGACTGGGGCTTGAAGAGCAAGACTGTGTAATGAATGCCCTGCGGTTCAAAACGGCTAGGAAACAAATAGGTGAAATCTCCGGGACCCGTGACGAAACCGCGAACTTCTGTTTGTAGAATTCATATGTTATTAATAAGCGTAGCAAGGGGATCAGCGGACGCAATCTAGCCAAACAAGAGTACGTACATTTACTGGGGGGTGTATTCCTGTTTAGACTGTACATGTAATGCCGCGGGGCTCAGCAGGGCAGGCCCAAAAACCCTGAAGCTTCTGAGAACCGAGGATGCATCCTATAGTATTGATATAACTATAAGAATTCTGCCCCGTGATAAGAGTAGGAGCAGCTACCGCTATAGAATCAAGGAGAATGGAACCATGTGCACCGGCGGTGCAGACTAGCCTAGAGAGGAGCACTAGACAGACAAGTCCAATGGAATACGAAGGGATCACAACGATAACGACCCGTAACCTTAAAGGGGAGGATGGTATGTAGGCTTTTGTTTAGGCTTATGCTGCAGAGGGATAGTAAATCTTTGAGACTGCCTTAAGGATTCCGCTATGATTTCTGCCCGCGCTCGTCTCGCCAGCACTGGGATTGTGCTCACACCGCTCGGCGGACAGGCTTACACCATTTCAAGGTCTCGCTACATCACTCGTATAGAGGCTGCTTGTCCTACTACACTCGTATGAAACAATTAGTTGACCCGTGCTTCTAGGCTGCTCATGCTAACCGATAGTTGCTACTTATCAGGTGTCCAGCCTAATTGGCACTGACACTGTAGTGCCAGGCGCTACAGTACGGCTTGCAACGAAACGTGAAGAGTGAAATGAGATACGGCGTAGTTGAGAAACCGTGAAAACGCAACCGCAAATCAAAACAAACGATGCTCCTTGATAAAACATGAGAAACAAAGTTTTTGTTCTCTGGTGAGCCTTCCGCCCAGAGCCTTCCGCCCAATGGGTCCCTTCAGGTTCCTCGGTGGGAGGCTTCCAGGTGCTGACACCTACTGATGCGGCTTGTCGGCAGCAGATGGTCGGCAACGACTACCTAACAGGTAGAGCGCACAGGTGAGTGATTTTGCCATGGTCATCCCTAATTGGGAACGATCGACCAGCATAAATATGCGGCCTATGTAAGACCATCTAGGAGGGGAATATATAGTCCTAATAGAATGAATCTGACACACTGTAGTGCGCCCGCACTACAATATTCCCCTTTGCTGCGAAAGCATGTGGCGCAGGCACTCGCGTAAAAGAAAGAAACTGGGGGTGGGGGTGGAAAGGAAACACAAGGGGCTAGGACGCCGTTCAGTGAGGCAACCTAGGAACCAAACATCGCGTCCGTGTAGCGGCTTGAGAATGGCGATGCCTGCAGTGTGGGAGGAGTGCCGAACATCCGGGGAAATGATCTGCTAGTTTCCAGGCCGCCTGCTCGTCAGGGACCCGACGCCACTTGAGAAGATACTGGAGCTCCGCTCCTTCACCTCGTTGCTCCAGGATGTAATCCACCTCGTAGTTATCAGTTAGGTTTCCCTGTATATCACGAACTGGTAACTCCCGTGGCCTATCTGGAATAAGCTACTACACATGGAAAACATTGCGGCTTCTGTATGTGGGAAGAAGGGCTAATCAATGCATTACTTTACCAACACTTTCTTTGATGGTAAAGGGGTTGCCAAAACGCGGTTCAAGCTTGGAACACAAGTTTTGAAGCGGTACATTATTTGTAGTGCATTGGCACTACAATGCACAGCTGTAGACACCTAGTGGGCAAAAACGAGATGAAAATTCATAATTACGTTCAAAATCTTAAAGTTAGTTGACAAAATCGTAGAGCGAAAGTTGTTAGCCGAGGATACCCGACTCCCTCGTTAGAGGCAGAGTCACCGAAGAACGTAGGCAGGCCGCAGCGTGGCGGCCCCACGTCGGCGTCCCCCGCCGTTCTAAGATCTGGCCGGCCGATCGCTAGTTGGGGGCGAACGGATTGGCGAGGAGATCGGACTCGGAGAACTATTTTCCTCTAATATTTGTCCACTAAATTGCCTACGTGACTGTTACTAGCGACTAGATTCGTAGATCCTGCACGTATTAGTCGCGAACTACCTCACTTAGCGGGTTGCGTACGCGGTGCATAGGCGCGCCAAGGCACTACATTATTGGTGCTGAGCCATACTTTGTCTCCAAGTTGAGAAACCACGTCTCGGCGAGAAGCGTCTGCATAAGCCTTCTAATGCCGCTTAGCTTGAAGGATATGACTTTGTGCGCTATCACAGAGACGTCTGAAAATCTTAGCCGACTGTGAAGTTACGGTAGGAACTAGGCTCCCCACAATATCAAGTTCCGCAGCTGTTATACGATTTTCCCCTATCATGACCTCGAAAGCGCTCAACCCAATTAATGAATGACTAATCGTATTATAAGCTAATTCCAGGGCTGCTGAAAGGTTCCCCTATTCAGTTTCATCCGACTGAATATAATTACGAATCATCTGCTAAAGGTTTCGGTTCACCTACTCTGTTTGGCCATCCGTCTGCACGTGGTAGGCTATGGACATGGCACTGTGAACATTGAATGCACAGCACAGTTTGTGAGAAACTCCCCTTCACAAGGGCCAGTCTAAGGGGAGTTTGGGGCCATAGGGATCATGTGGCCCTCGGAACTTGATCCCACTCACATCAGTAGATGCACTAGTCTCTGCCAGCAGCTGTGCGTCTTGTGCCCCCAACGACAACACAAACGCAGATGAAAACATAAATGTGAGGCGTAGAAGGGGTCGAAGTTCCCTCACACGACGGGGTAATGAGATTCCATAGTACTCTAGGTACTGCGGGCTCTGTGAGCTGATGAGATGTGGGGGAGGGCCCTCAATCCCTCTCATGCAATGCTGAGATCTGGTCAAGATAATTCAAGACAATTTAGAGTATTTCCTTTAACTACAAATATTTGCAGTTAGCTTTACGTATTACTTGGTTGCATCTCTGAAAGACTACTGTGGGGCGCATCACTAGAACGCCACAGCTGAGTGTAGCGAGCTGGCAAGCAATATCTATCATACTCAACAACAACATATCAAACTAACAAAGGTTAAAGGATATTAGATCTCTCTGTTTATTTTCCTAAAATTTTTCTCTCTCAACCGCAATAGAGCAGGCACTGCGGCCTTTGGGGCTGGTAGAGGAGACGGCGTAGCCTGGTGCAATAGCTTTTGCACCAAGGCTCATGCCAGCCTCTCCTATAAACATATCAGTTGTCACTCCGTAAAGAATGTTTAATGCATTCACCAATGTTATATTCAACATACATCAATAAGCAATCACAGGCACTTCCACTATTCACACATGTAGCATGAGTTAGCGCAGAAGCTGTAGCATGAGTTAGCGCAGAGTTAGCTCAGGAGCCTTCCGACGGTTTCGGCATGCTGCGTGTAAGCGCTTGCAAACGTTCTACAAGTTCGTTCAGAGGCAAAGCATGCATCAAAGGAAGCTTCGCTGAAGCTTCCTTTTGTGCACGCATGGGGCTCGCTTGCACTGCCAGCCGCAGCGGGGTGCGCTGCAACCCCATTTCTGGCTGCCTCTTCCCCGCAACATCCAGGCCCTAAGCTCAACGCCCAGGATGCCGAGGGACCGGGGAAGGAGGTTAGCTGCTTTTGGGAAACTCTTGCTTTAAGTCTTTTCCAACATTGCGGCTTGCCTCTGGCCAGATAAAGGCCAGAAAACAAGCGTTACAATACAACCCTCACTCATTCCACAACGAGCACTGCATTGTTGCCGTGATTGTAGGGAGTATTCACTACACAGTTGCTCCCAGAGTTCCGAGTGCAAACGAGGGTCGCAATCGGTAATCGGGGCATCGGGAAAAAATATGGCATCCGGAAAAAATATGGTACTGATTAGGTCGTTCAGCCGACAACTCAAAGATTTGCTCAGTTGAAACATTCTGGGTAATGGGAATGAAACTGGCAATTTCTTTGGTAAATCCACTATAACCAACACAGCATCTTGATACTGAGATATACTGGGCAACTCTGTGATGAAACCCATGGAGCCATGACTCCAATACCTTGATAGAATATGCAGTGGTTGCAACACCGGCAGAGCGCTGGGTTGATGAGCTAGACCGTCCTGTCTCTTTCAGCAGACGGGCAATTGCTTATGAAGTCGTTGTTGTGAGCGTTTTGTGTTTTGACAAAGTCCCGAAACCAGAAAGCAGACATGCGCTGCAAGTGTCAACAATTCCACAGGATATGTGTAGCATGTTCTGCCTACGGTTAGCACAGCAACCTTCCCTTGGCCTTGGTAGGTTACGTGTAAGCAATGCAAACGTTCTATAGGTGTACTCAGAGGCAAAGCATGCAGCAAAGGAAGCTTCGTTGAAGCTTCCTTCTGTGCACGCGTGAGGTTGGCTTGTATTACCGGTCGCGGCGAAGTGCGCTGCAAACCCCCTTCAGGCTGCCTTCTCCCTGCAAAACCCAGGCCCTGAGCTCAACGCTCAGGAGACCTGAGGAGAGGGCAAGGATGTCAACTGCTTTTGGGAAACCCTTGCTTTAGGTCTTTACCTACATTGCAGCTCGCTCTACACTTCTATCCTTGATTAACTCCAGAGAGCAGTCGTATACGATGGATGCCGCATGCAAGCATTTGGCAAAAAATGCTCTGCGTTTTAATTCCACATTTAGAGCTTGTCAATTGATAGCTGTATGCCTTTGAGGAATTTGAGTCCTAGCCTGTGTGGGGTTGCCGCTAGCGGTGTGGCAGGGCCATCACGCGCGGTGGGCTGCATGCCGAAGCAATTTGATAGCGAGCAATGAAAGTCACCGTGCTAAGTTTCGGTCGTCAGTCAGTGGTTCCGAAGTCTCGCAGCAGTCGCTGTTGTTGGGTTGTCACCAGTTCCCGCATTTCGCGGGCCAGAGATAGTGTAATCCCAAAGACACGTTGCGCGGATTCCTGACAACCCGACAGATGACGCGCAAGTGTGGCACGGAATACCACTACCTGAATCGCAAGCTGACTGGTTTTGAGTTAAAATTTGGCGACTTGTTTGATAAACGTCAAAAACGGGTGTGATTTGCACGCATGCGCATTTAACTTCATCGACGTCCTACTCTCCATCCTGGCCGCAGGGCGGCGTGCCGGTCGAGGTTTCGCTGTTGCTACTTTGAACCGAAGTACATGCCTGGATCTACCCAAGTACAAGCGTTTTTGTAATATCAGTTTTTGAAGTGTTTTTTCATCATCATTGTTGGATCAATCCGTTCTGGGTCCCTGTTTCGGGGGTGACGTTCATCGACTGTCTCTCGACATTGGTTGCTGTGCAAAACAGTTGCCTCGAAGCTCCCTGTCTGTCGGGCTGTCGTCAAGTAACAGCAACAGGGGCTGCAGAGGCTTCCTAGTAACTCAGCAAGATGGAAAAGCCCCGTGTATTTGAGCCTTACCAGGTGGGAGTGCTGCTTCCCCTCAACTGCGCATAGATAGCGGCAGGTCGCACAGGGTTGTTGCCCAAGGCCAGCTCCGTACAAACAAATCATTAATAACAGATTGGTGACCCTAGTTCTGCCCGCTTGGCAGTTGTATCGCCAGCAAATGGACGCGCAGCCGCATCTGCACGTCGCGGATCTGCAATCCGCTAGCAGCATTGGCGATGGGATCGCCTCAAATTCAGAAGGCAAAGCATCCTACAGCTGCGGTGATGGGTCCAGTTGCATCCAACGCATCCGAAGCAGGAGGACTTCGTATCCCCCGTGGTTCCGCATACTATTTATTACTCTCACCTCCCTAGCTGTCGTGTACTTTCTGTTGCGTTGTTTTGAGTTGGTCGCAAAAACGACTGTTGCGGTAGAGGCGAAGAGATCGCTTGCAGTTGGAGGCCGTTCAGCATGCGAGGTTGATACAAGTGCAAGTGAAGATGAGGAGGAACAGCTGCCAGCTGCAGGTTTTGAAGGGGCTGGTGTGCAGGGACATATCGAAGGAGCTGCTTCTGGAGAAACAGGATTGGAGTCAGGAGGTTTCTTACAGTGGGAACCATGGAGTGCATATGCCAGTTATGGGGCACACGATTGGTTTCCTCCGCTGAGTTCAGCAGGCGGAAACGGTGTTGCTGCATCAAAGATGGTTCCTGATGAACACGGAGAGAGTAGAAATTTGCCGGTAAGACGTCAAGGTAGTGCATGGGATCCTTCAGGTCAAAGAATGCACTGGGGTGACGAAAGAGAGCTTACGGAGCAATTTTTCTCAGGGGAAGTTGCAGACGGGAGAGGAGGACATGTACGCCCGATATTTGCCAAGTTCTTTCATCGGGTAGAAGATGAGGGGGATTTGTGGGAAGGACGACGATTACCTCCCTATGCTGCGGAGCAGGTTGAGAGTATATATGAACGTATGCTGGAAGTTATAGCATCTTGCCGAAGGCTGCAGCAGGCGCTGTCGGGAAGCCAATTTCTGCTCCTGACGCACTCAGTGATGCGGTTGCTAGCGCTGGATTTGGGGGCTATTTCGGTTATTCCAGAGGATTTAGAGCGTTTGCGGTCGGGCTTGGGAGACGCACTTGTACAGTTAGGATCACGAGTGCTTCAACACACTGACAAACAGGGGGAGCATAGGAAGCTGTGTACGGAAGTCCAATCTCTGATACATTTGACACGAGAGCTAACAAAGCCACGGCAAACTCCCCCAAATACTAGGGCACTCACGCGTATGAAAAAGATGGCAACTCTTATTCGAACTGCCGGCATGACAGTAAAGATGTGTTCTCTCGTTTTATCTGGATTGTCCAGCTTAAGTGAGGGTGCTTCTGGTCCTGTGCCAGAAAATGTTGTAGAACAGCAGATACGCGTTCTCGAGGCATTGTTTACTGTCCACTCTAATTATATCTTTATTGACAACTTACATAAACACTATATCGTACTATGTCAGGCCAAAGTAAGAAAGCAGGCGCTTTTCGGGCCCATGCACTACCGCATGACCAAAAGAAAGCTACCATCGCTGAATCAGTTGTTGAATGAGATATCTGAAGCCGTCGACACTGCTGGAGGTCTTCTGCTTTTCTCGGGAACAAGCGAGCCACCGCATCACACTGCTCCTAGCAGTGTGCCTGCTACCCATCGACAGCCTGAGTATCGAAATTGGCAGCCACACGGTTTAAACATTCAAGCACAGATGGAGAGAGAACCCCCTCCAGAATTTCAGCCTCCCCAAGAGTTTGCAGGCCATACGCTATCCCCTGATATGCAGATAGACGCTCCGCTAACAGCTCCAGCCCCTGAGTCCGCAACCTGGTGGCCTAGCCCACAACCACTAGAAGGCGTTCGTCCAGCAGTTCGTTCCCAATCGCGAGATGCTGAGGTATATCAAAAGCACCTACTGCAGGATAGTCCGTCTCCATTTGCCCCTACAGCAACCAGCACGTCTTCGTCTTGGATGCGCTCGTCACAAGAAGTTAGTGCAGTCACAGGTTCGCTGTCTCCATGGAACAGGCCGACGATGCCTTCACACTCTCTTCAGGCGTTTGAAGGTTCCGACGTCGGTGCGTTCTCGCTGCATCACTCTCCTCTTGAGCACGGTTTGGCTCTTGGCCATGGGCAGCCTACCGAGCAGTCAAGAAGCGCTTCAGACGAAGCACGCATGGGCTTAGGGGCACCAAGAAGTCCTCACTATAGAGGCCTGACCTTTCCGGACGCAACGTCTCCAGCTCCGTGGTCACTAACCGTAACTGACCATGTACTCGATACTTCGATGCGGGGAGCAGTGAGGGTTTACGAAGCTGAGGGACATAGAATTCTTCAGCATCAAGGACCTGAACAAACAGATGATGACGACAGTGTTCTGTCTGATCTTCTCAAAGGCGTTCTCGAGTTCCAGGGCATATTTCCAAAAGAATCAGACAAGTCTTCGCCTGAATGAGCTTCTTTTTTTGCTTCGCATGTGGTCTCGGCGATGGATGTAGTGAGCATGCCGTGAACGTCCACACCGCCACCGGGACCGTGGGGAATGTGGCACGGCGTGTATCATATCGCAGTTTGCTCCATGTAGTCCTCCCGCTCTTTGTTAGGGGCTCGCCTCCATGGTTTTATCGATTTGCGTTGTTCGCATTTTCCGCGCAATCAATGCACGTGCATGTGTCAGAGGACGAAGCGCTTAGATCAGCAAGCGAAGTAAATGACGGCGGCACAGAAATGTATCTCAACTCCACCGTTAGAAACAGAGTTTACAGGCTAGCAGAGCAGTCTGCTGGCCCAGAAACTGCAGCGAGGGGAGCAGTCTCCCCTGCGCTGCACCTTGCATTTGATATCGTGGTATACCTTCGCGATTTGTCACTGCACAAACTGCATTCTAGTCTCCGACTATTGTCCCGAAGGATTTAGGCAATCTCAGGTTTCGTCTGTGTAGGAAAACTGACAGGTTATAAGAACTGCATACATCTGTAATGCTTTGTCTGCACAAATGCCCTAGCCAGCAACATAGCATGCTGTAGCGTGAGACGCCACAGCTGCCGTCATGAGCAGGCAATATCAGTTAGGCAGCCTATCCATCGTACTGAATGTTGCATATCACATGGCAAAAAAGCAGCTGACGGATCATCCAGCTCTCAGGAAACAAAATCAACGGACTCAGGAATGGCCGTTGTTAAGGCTAGGGAGCCGGGCAGTTGAACCAAGCAAGCGACGTGGGCTTTCCTAAATACAGTGGTTAGGAACTGCATTTGTGCACAAATGCAGTGGATTAGGGTAATTTTGCGGGATTGTATGGGTATTCCTTCTGAAGGATGGCAGAGGACATTATTCGACGGGCGGCCAACTGGCCTTCCTAAATCGAGCCAACCCTTGCCAAAGGTCCCCGCAGATGTAAAAACGTTCTGTCGCTTCTGTGCACTACATTACTCGAAATTAAGGCAGTTGCTCATTCTAGAATCCTACCGGCTAAGACCCTGAATACTACGACCCTGAATGGTTGGGTGCTGTGTCCTCTCAGCGTGGAGAGGCAAATTCCAGCATCATTCCTTTAATAGCCCAAATGCATCACCATGCTTCCAGACTCGTTTGTGTCACAAGTGCAAGCAAAGTAGATGGGTGGCCCCCTTGCGTGCATCCAAGCTCCAATGAGTCCTATGCTACATCTCGATTGTCAGAACGCTTGGGACGCACAGATTAGCAGTGACTGAAGGGAACCTGATGGTGCTTGTATCTACAAGCTTCTTGTGATATACCAACTACGCCTGTGACAGATGAAAGCTGTTAGAAGTGTTCCTCCGCAGGTTCCTGGTCTCTTCGCCGTGACTAACGACGCCCCTGCTAACGAACAGAATTGGCGGGTTGTGAACAGATACACTAACACAGCAGTATCGTAGGACTGACAGACGACAGGCCCTAGTGCACCCACTTTCATCTGCACCAGATGCCTTGTACCACGGTTCATGTAAAACTGCTACATGCACCTCAACCTGTGCCTAGCAATCCCAGTGGTCACTCTGCCCGCACATTGGTCACTGACGGCCAAGTAGGTGACTTCGGTGTGTTTGCGTGGTGACGTGCCTTGTAGAAGGAGTTGCAACAATGTGCGCTACAGTCCATGAAAGACCTCCCCCTGCCCCCACCGGCCCGAGGGCCGCTGCACCAATAATGCCTGGAAACTGGTGGTGGGTGGGCTGTTCTTTGAGGACTATTATCCCAACTATTTTAACACGGGTGCAGATCAGGACGCTCTTCGGCTGGGGCCGAGGCCCCTCGTTAGAGACAGAGTAGAGAATTGGCCTGTCGCGCGATGCACCACACACGCACACGTTGCTAGAGACGTTGTTAGAGCACCTGCTACAGGGCAGCTCCAGATGCATGCATACGCATATCCCTTTTAAGCGCATACACAAACACTGAAGACAACTGTTAACAACTACTTGGTCCGCAGTATCCAGCCTAGAGGCAAAAAAATTTAAAACAAGCCGGTTCCAAGCACCCCGAGTAGGCTGTGGCTACGCGGAAAGAAAGCGCAATCCGTTGGAATTAGAGCACGCCACTGCATTGACAGAGTTAAAGTATTTTTTTGTGCAATAATTCGACTTGCGGAATTTGCCTTGCTTAGGATCACTCACACCATTGCATCTGTACGCACCGTCGCCGCCACCGAGGGGCCACATGATATTGCCCGCATGACATTTCCATGATCTCCCCAGCCCACTTGCGTTGTCCCGGGAGAAGCTAAAGCCAGTAACCCTTCAGTTAAGAATTCCCTTTATATATGTAAATGCGGGGTTGCTTCTCCGTGGGTCTGCTGGTATGAAGTGGCAATGCATCGACGGACCGGTAGTTACTTTGCGCCTCCCAGTTCCTCTGTCTTCTGCGAAGTAACAACTACGAACTCCCCCGACACCCACAAATAATGTTACAAGGTTGAGGGACTCAGTGTTTGTTCACCTCGTTGCAGTGGAATCGTGGTTACCAGCGAATGTGCTGGGTAACGGGACGGCCAGTGTTGTGCATTCAGATATACTACCAATCTGCTCCGCGTAGACAAGCCATTCATGCAAGTGAAGCCGAAACCATACAATACTTGTGCTTCCCATTTCACACGCGTGAGGTGTTTTCCCCAGGTCAAATGACATCTGCGGGAGGTCCCTACGTCGAAGATGGTTCTCCTCCCGTTGGCATCGTTGATATGGGGATCGCCCCAAATTCAACACAGAAAACCATCTACGACTACAGTTTTAGTTCAGGTTGTAGGCAATATCCCTTCAAGAAGAGGTTTTGCCGTCCCCGCTTCGTCTATCTGTTGGCTATAACTCTTACATCTTTGGCCACCGTCTACTTTGTGGTGAGTTGTTTTGGCTTCATACGTGCAAGACCTGAGATAGTTGGACTGAGTAGGTTACTAGCAGCTGCGGGCGATAGACCATGCCAGGAGGGCACAAATGCAGGTGAAGATAACGGGCAGGCGTTCAATGATGGAGGGTTCGAAGGAGCTTCCGGGGAGGGTGACGGTGCACAACTACAGGCCGACGACGATACACCTCCGAAAGGAACTACTACACAACGACTGCAATTAGCAACAGCTACTCCTGGCCTCTTTGAAATGCCCAGTCAACTCACTGCTCCAGAAGAACGAGATACTGCTGCCGCAGCAGCGGGTTTTTCGACGGATTCGCGGCACCAGGGGCACTTTGCCGTTGATCTCCAGGGTGGTCCAAAATCTCAAGAGGGCCAAGCGATGTATGGCAGTGAAGCTGGAGGAACCATGGAACCATTTTTTGGAGGGCCAGATGGAGGAGAGCATGATGGAGGTGTACTAGGTGTAGAGCCTGAGAGAGAGCTGCGTGGAGAGGTCTTGGAGATGTGGGAACAACGGGGCTTACCTGGGTATGTTCGTCAGGAGGTTCAGAATTTGTTTGTGCGGTTGGTAGATGTTGCATCGTCGTGCCGACGCCTTTTACGGGCGGTAGACCCGGCAACAGGCTTGCGCCTGACGCACGAAGTGGTTAGGTTGCTGGGACTGGATCTTGGTGCAATTTCTCTCATTCGGAATGATCTAGAGCCCTTCCGCTCGATGCTGGGAGACGCTCTTGTGGAGTTGGGGTTGGACGCCTTACAACTCACTGGGGAAAACGTTGGGCTTGAAGAGCAGCGCACCGATATTGGCAAACTGATACGTGTGATGAAGGAACTCAAAGCGCCGCGGCCATTTACAGAAAATATTACCGGCAAAAGGTACAAGGATGCGACGCTATCTATTCTGCGCACGGCAGAAGTGGTTGAAAACTTTTGCAGGAGAGTCCTTGAAGGGCTCCTTAGGTCCGCGGGACTCGCAGAAGGGCTGGGGCAGATTGAATTTGAACAGCAGATGCGTGTTCTAAAAGCACTTTACCGTGTTCACTCCAATCACATCGCCAGGGATGGCTCACTACGATATTACATCGTACTGATCCAGAGACAGCTAGGAGAGAGTCCGCTCCTCATGCCCCACCACCGCACAATGGCCATACAGCAGGTGCCGCCACTCGTGAATTTGGTAGAGGAAATCATTGAAGCTGTCCGCAACTCCGGCGGTCAGCTACTGCAACCACAAGTGGACCAGCCACACCACCACGGCTCGCCGAGAAGCCTGCTACCTACGACCGTTCCGAGATTGCCTTCGCCTGCGCAGTCCCATGAATTACCAGGGCGCGCACAGCAACAGCAAGGAATCGAGCGAGGGTCCTTGCCTTTTCTTGCACCCGCAGGCTCAGCGGCACTCGGAACTCCAGAGACAACTGCCAACCCAGTATCTGCACCCTATGCGCAAAGACCAGCAAGTCCATTGGGCCACCGGAAACCCCACTCGTCCGCCTCTTCCCTAGAGCATTTTGGAGCGAATCTTGAAGCCCTCCAGACGCTGCCTCCTTCGCCGCCTTTCTCGCCCTGGGGCGCTGGGGCGCATGCATCGTCACAGGGTCTTCAAGATACGCCTTCGCAGTTTCCGCAGACACCTACCTACACAAGTTCAGCGGCTGTCCAAAGCCATCAGGCAGCCAGTGAGCGATTCGCGCCGTTTGAAGCGCAACTTCCAGCATGGTTCGTTGGCCAGCGAACAATTCCAGTCGCTGCGTCAGCTGCTCATTATGATCTGGCACCGTTCATTGGCCGTGGAGGCTACCGCTTGCAAGCCTCCCCGTCTGCATTCTCCGAATCCGAACGTGGTCATCCGTTGACTTCGACGCGCCCTCAAGTACAAGATATCCAACGAACGCCTGCGGCACCTCCTTGGACAACGTCGTCGAAAAGCGAATCCCCTTCCTTTGACGGTCCAAAGGGCTTTGAAGATGCGGGTGCTAGCGCGTCGGAAGGCAGTAGATTGAGAGCGCCTCATGCACATTTTAGCCACGGTGATGAGGCCGCTTCCTATCCAGGTCCCAGCCCGCCAATAAGCGACTTACCGGGAGCATTCTCTAGTGTAGAACAACACCAGGATTCGCTGCGCAGCGAGTACAGCCTCTTTGGGCAGTTTAGTCAACCGCCATGGTTTCCATTCTCAGTTGCGCCTGCTGGCCAGCCTTTGATTCGAGCCTCTGGCGAGACGCGCGCCCCCAAGCCAGAAACTGCTATTGGGCAGAGCGAAGACGAGGGCAGCCTGGCGGGAAATGTACCGTTCGAACATCTGAGCCTAAATGACGGCATTGCACGAGGGGGCGAACGCTCTACCGAGAAGTGAGCAAGCTTCGCGTGCTTTGTCTACGATGTGTGTGCGGTAATGTTGCATGGCGGATGGTGGAAGGCAAATCATCAAACAGGAATGCGAACGGGAATGCACGTGAACACGCGATCTTTTCATGCTCGTATGTAGGGGATTTTATCATTTTTTCTGAAGCGCTTCCCTTCATGGCTTTTATAAAGGAATTAGACCCTTGGATCAACGGGCCTCGCTGCGTGGACGGTGTGAGCAAAGCTCAAGGGGATTTTGCCAGCATTTTATGTTCTAGGTCATTCTGCGGAGCAAAACAGATATTCTTCGCTTGGAATACCCCCTAAACCGCAGTACAACTTGTGGTTCACGGTCTCAATAAACCAAAGTGTTTATAGGAGCGATTGCACGCTTTCGAATTGACTGCACCGTGTCTGTCTCTGGATGCACGCCCAAATGGGGGTGACATTCAAGTGATGTTGTTCTTGTTCCGTTGCTGTGCGAATTCGCTCGAAGAGAAGTGCTGTACCATTAGAGCAAGCATGCGAAGCGGCAGTTTTCAAAGGGATCTGCTGCACGGCACATTCGCGAGCCGTACAAACATCACGAAACAAAGGACCTTTATGTTCCAGATGAGTCACGGAAGGACTACATAATTCGGAAACATCTCAATTTTAAGTTTAGAGGCGATTTTTCGTCCTCTACGTAGTTCTCAAATCGTTTCAGCCAGACGCAATTGAGCTGCCTGACTGTACGTCCGCCCGCCGCGAATACCTCCTAGTAGGAGCGGCTAACCGGACGCTTCGCTACCAGCATGACCACATCGGAGTTTGGTATGCTTGTCTGACAAGCATCCACGGTGTAATGTGCATCTTCTGATAGAGAAGCCCTTATCGTTTTATTGTCAAGCAATTCTGTCGACCCTAGTTGCCCTGTAATGTCTGCGTTATATCTGCAAAGCTTCTCACTAGAAGACTAGTATCTGCCTTCGGATCATCCGCTTGCTGCATCCAGCCTATACGGTCAGACATGCACGTTTACAGTCTGGTATAGGGGTGCAAACACTTCAAACACGAGCTCAGTTGGAACGGCGGCCCTGTGTTGGATCGTCTTGAGCACTGCAACAGTAAACAGATTCCTCCATAGCGCATCCCTTGTGAACAGATGGAGCTCGTTTACGAAACTAGCGAGTGGTGACAAATGGGAGTAGTGGCCGAAGACCTACCAACTCACAACTTGCAGTTGCCAGGTATACAGCAAGCTTTCTTGCCCAATTTTTTCTTCAGGTATTTCCGTCGGTGGTGTGTAATGTTTTGAAGGGCAAGAGGCGTGGCTGTGGCAGCCGTAGAGCATCTCGAGTGTGTGCAGCCAGCAAATGGATTGTGACACGCGAATGCTCCTTCGACTGCTGATCTCCCTTCTTAAAGTGCACACTGGAGAGCCACGCGTCGCCCACCCACAAAGATAGAAGCTTTTGCTTGTCCACTGACTCTACGTCAGTGAACAAAGCAGTACCTTCTATCCGTGGGTGGGCGACGAGCGGCTTTCAACTACGCAATTTGCCGTAAGACCAGCTGGAATGACGGGCGGCATATACATGAAACACACTCACCATAGAGAACCAACAGTGAAGCAAGGCGATTCTCGGTATTTCGTTCTCCAATGGTGCATCCAGCATAACAATGTATTAGGCAGAACATCACAGGCATACAAATCACACCTCAATACATTCTCACGTACATAGTTCAGTCCAATTGTTAATTAGCCCTTCACTTGGGACTGTAAAGAAATAGGCCCTCAAACTAGGTAGTTCTTATCCCCCGAGAGCGGTACGTTGCGCTGCTGAGGATTGCATTTCCTTGACACGTGTCGTGTTCAAAAAAAGCAGACAATTGGCACCATGTTTACATCGATTTGAATTCAGTTCTCCACAGTCATACGGCACATGTTCAGCTTTTACTCCTAAGAAATTTGAGTGACTGACCACGCCTAGTGGAGCATGGCCAGCGCGCAGCCTTGAAGTGATGTGGTGAATAGCCTTTCTACTTGCGTTCAGGCTGTCTACTGAGGGCCAAGTAAGCGTTTAACACTTCTGTACATGTGAGAACGGGGGCTGGTACATGGCGAGTTAACGTGCAACACTAGTTGCAGCAAGGTGTGTAGCAACTTACAAAATGCCGTTTCGCTTCCGCACCAGTCCTTGGACAGCTGTTTTCAGAACGCCGGGCGTAGCTTGGTCTGTGCGAAGTGGGTTACTGTATCTATATCTGCGGGCAGGCCGGCTGTGCAAAAATCACCTATAGTGTTAGAGCATGCAGGCAGTGCGGTTTGGTTGTGGCTGCAAGTGGGGATGCGCTTGAACGCTACTCGCAGCAAGGTGCTTTACCGCTCCCGTCAGGCCGCCTCACCTGGCAGCAGCGCCCGGCCCTTGAGCCGCTATGATCAGGACGCCTGGAGAGTGGAGAAGATGTCATCTGCTCTTCGGAACTCTTATCTTAAGTATTTTGGTTCTGTTGCAGCTAGTGACGGCTCTTGGACAAGCTCGAAGATTACTCACTACACACTCGAAGCCAGGTCTGCCCTTTCGCAGGCTGGCTTGCCTTTTTTCACTTCTGTATGGACTTATCTTTTGGTACTTATTATACCTGCAAGTGCACAGTAAGTCATGTGGTCGGTGAGGCTAACAAGCAACGGTTGTGTAGGGCAGGTGATATGTGGGAAATGGCGATGGTTCTCATTAAGCCCTTGTTCCATGTTTATGAATATAATAACAAAACCGGCTTAAGAATTTTAGAGGTCTACAAAGCTTTGGTGAAACTTTGGGCAGTTGAGGGCGAGCAAGTTTTAGCTTCTATGGCGGTACCTGGACTGGTATCCATCGCTCATCGCACCAGGGTCGATGAGCTCCGTCGCCTATTATTTGCTCTCCACACAACATTACTCAAAAAATCCAGGTAACTTTGCGTTAATGAGAAGGCTGTGTGTTGTAGAGGGCTCGTTCATGCTGGAAGGTGTTTCTACCACCCTTCGGTGTCTACGTTGTTCAATCGGGCGAGACCACAGCTGGCCTACTCGGAGTGTGCACCTGACCCTAAGGTCAGGTGCACACTCTGCGTCTAGCTATCTAAATACATGATTCTCCCTAAATCCACTATTAGAAACCATAAATAGCGAAAACGCATTCGAGCTCATATTATCTGTTTGGGGAGAAAACCCAAAATAATAGAACTCGTTGTCGACCCTCGTTGAGGGTCAGAGCCAAGTAACAGGATCAGCCTCACACCCAGCCCCTAAGCTGGTGTCGATTGGCGAGCACTCTGATCCTACTAAGCTCCTTTTCTATCTAAATGTGCCCTAATCCTTTTCATGACACTAGGCCTCTAGAGGCCACGCAGGAGATCCATTGTAGTGCCTATGCGCTATACTGGCCTAGCGAGCTTGCACGAGCTCGAAGCTTACCGGGTAAACCGAGCCTGTCTCTGATGCAAACTTCCCTTTGAACCGCCGCGAATTTACTTCATCACACAAATATCGCTTTAATAACACATTTCGTTTCCCTTTTGTACCATGCTCCATGTTCCAAGACATGTGCTGGTGTTGATACGACACGGGAGGGGGGGTGACAGCTTCCGTGTACACCTCCCGCTCAACTGTCCCAGCGCGGAAAAGTTACAATGCCGCGAATAAGCGGAGCTTTTGTATATCGTTGTATTATTACTTTCTTGTGAGTCTGCCTTCATGTGCCTTTGTGCAAGCGATGAATCGATAATGTCATCGCATTCAACGTCATGCTGCATCTTCCCGTCACCGGATCGGTTCGCTTAGCAGCCACATCTGACAGGCGCATGACCAGCATTGTTCCCGACATTTTAATGGAAGAAAGCGGCATTCTTTTCGCCTTTTTAAACTGGATGTTGACGGCCGGCGGATACTAAAGGCGGCGGCAATGTGTAGGGCGGCCTGTTAATCTTGAAAATTTTGGCAGCCTCTCGAGTCAGCTAGTTCTGCCGGACCTGGCTTTGCGGGCAGTGTTTGTCTGCGCCTGAGCCACTTTCATGCTGGCGAGATGGTTCCCCATTCACATCCACTTCTTGGAGATGCTCTGCCGCCGCTTAGCAACACTGCGGAGGGCGTGGCTTCAGATTCTGAAAAGCAGACAATAATCGGCCGTGATGGGGCGGTGGCTTGTGTGCAACATGAGAGAAAATCTTCATACTCTTTTCCGGTGCCTCTGCTAAGCGTAGCACTTATCTCGTTGGCTGTCGTGTACTTGGTGCTGCGTTGTTTTGACGTGACAAAGGGAAGATCTCGGGTGGATCCGTTGAGGAGATCGCTTGCAGCTGCCGACGGAAGGCCATGCAACGGATATGAAGAAGGCGATAAAAGCGGCGAAGGTGGGGAGGTTGCGGAGTGGGGGGCATTTGGGCATGGGGGATCTGATGGAACTTCTAGGGAGCGTTCGGCAGAAGGCGATATTGGTCGGTGGGTGTGGCACACACGAGAAACTCTAAGATGGCCATCAATGCCAACGACAACAGCTACTGGAGGCTTCGGAGTAACTCATGGAGTTAGGTCTGTGAATGGACTCCATGCTGCAGCTTCAACGGTGGGATTCCAACCAGCCCAGTCGCAAGATAGTCGTCCTGTAGGGTCCCTTTGGGCCCAAGAAGTGCCGGGCTCTGAATCGGCAGTAATGGGACGCCACTTTAAAGTTGCCTTCCAACAACGGAATGAAACCGGTCATCCTGCAGGAGGTCCCGGTGGAATGTTGCGTGAAGAAGAAGTGTTGAAAATGTGGGAAGGAAGAGGCCTACCTCCAGCTACTCAGGAGCAGGTTGTCAGTCTGTCTCAGCAAATGGGTGCTGCTGTATTGATGTGCCAGTCCTTGTTACCTGCGCTAACCCACAGCCAGCGGTTGCGTCTGGCGCTTGAAGTGGTGAGGCTTCTGGCACTGCAACTGGGAGCTTTTTCCCTCGTGCAACAGCATCTCGAGCCTTTCCGGTCACAGCTGGGTTACGACCTATTGCAGCTAAGTAATGAAGCTGAGACGCAGCGGCGACGAGGAGCACCTTGACGCACACCACAACAGTCTTCGCGAACTGGTCGCCCTAGTAACTCAACTCAGAGAACCTCGCCCGTATTCGGAAAGGACCTCCCTCTCTAGCTACAGAGTAAAAATGCGGTCACTCCTGCAGACGGCCTCCGAAGTAGTGAAGTTGTGCTTGGGTGTACTGGCTGGACTCTCTCAGCACGTGGCGAGCAAGAAGTACAAGGAATCCTCGGATGTGATCACACAGCAGGTACGTGCTCTCCGGAATTTGTTTGAAGTGCATGCCTCCTATGTCGCCCGAGACTCTACGCTGAGGTACTTCATCATAGAAAGCCAGAAACGCATCTTCCAGAGGCCCATTTTATGTCGCCGCCATGCTGATATATCCTCTCAACCGCTGCCTTCGATGAGTCAAGTGGTACAGGAGATACACGAAGCTGTTCTGAAAGACGGGGACCTCCTACAATCTTCATCACAACCACCAAGAACGCCTCATGGTGCTGCAACTTCTCCATATCCGACTGCTCACCAAATACATACTTCACCTACTTCATACAACTCAGCGGGTAAAGAATGGGGGCACACGCAGCAGCAGGATGCGATCGTCCAACCATTTCAACGCTTATCGGTTGCGGTAGGTTCGGGCCTACAAAACCTGCAGGCAACACCTGTAGTTGCACCTCCATCTCATGCTCCATCGCTACTGTCAACGGGTGTCTACCATTCTGGTTCACCTTTTTCGCTTCAACCGAAATTTACAACACGCCACACACATCGCCCCGTCCAGCCCTTTCCATCATACTTTCCCAAGCCTTTGATGAACTCTTCGATGCCTTCGATGCAGCCACTGCCGCAGGGATTCTCAGCTGCACATCTGCACCATGCATCTAGAGGTGCTCACGCAGGTGCTCTCAGTCGATTGAAACTGCACCATGTGTCCGGAGACGCCGGAGTAGTGGGTAATTACGTTAACGTTGGATGGCGCCTCACATGATAGCACAGGTGCTGCGCAACCTGGAGACCTTTTTGTGCAAGGAGAGATCGCCGATAGACACACCCGTCTGATGACTTAAGAATGTGTTATTTCCTTCCCGGGGAGAAGTAGAAACAGTTGAGAAAGAGGAGCGGAGTCTGTGCGCATGAGGCACCGTCAACGCCACAGCAAGTCTTCTCTCAGCGTTGACAGCAAATGCAACGGAGTCGAACTTCTTACGGCAAGCACCCCGTGGAAACAGCAGAGCTCGCCGTTTGTTTCCAAGCATCCACGGGATGATGGCGCACAAGCCTCCGACTGGTGCGCAGACGACGTCGCCTGTCTTGCGGTGCAGCACGGCGTGCTTCAGCGCTTCCTGCCTTACTGCACGAGTTGAAGCGAGGGCGTGTCGGCGCGTACACTGTTGTCGTAGGCAATTTTTATGCTCTTATTTGGCACTGAGTAATGTGCCTGCGAGCAATTCGGAATGCTTGTCCCAAGTTCCTGCAGACTGTCACGGGACGCCCGTGCGAGGATCGATACTATGCCACATATCCTTTATTGATGCATGCTGTGTGTGTCACCATGTGGAAAGGAGCATAGCAGCGGATTTTTGAACGTAAGTGCATTAGTAATGTACTTGGGGACGTAAAACCAGGAGCATCCTCTAACTTCTTGCAGGGTGTTTGTGGTGCACGAGCGCTACGGGGCCACTGCTCGGCGTTCGTTTGGGATCTCAGGCACCGCTGGAGGGACGCTTCACAACAAAGAGTGACGGAGCACAACAAAATATACTTACAATGATGTATTTATCGTGATGTTTGCTTCTGAAGCATGTGATGCACGGCAATTTTCACTGTTCATGCCACTCAATGCTTCCAAAGTCCCCCGCGGAGCGACCCCCAACGGGAAGCCCCAGTGCCGGAGAGGAATAGGACGAGCACCTAGAATACTGTTTTTTTAATGTTAGATTGCCAATATTTAGCGCTATATCAACTTTTCTTACTGCATAAAGGGACGGCGGCATTGACCGAAGGCCTGACAACCTCAAGGAACGAAGCCCCCGAGGCCCCTTGACTGGTCTGGCAAAGGTACCACTGGAGTTGACCGAGATGATTGTTACGAATGATGGCATTCTAGACTGAGACAGATTAACTTTGAATAATGTCCGACATATGTTGCCACAAAAGGGACCTGCTCCTGTTTCGCCGCCCCAGGTTCACCTGCTCTTGCGTTTAATACGTCTGGAGCACCGACGCTGTAGTGTCCCTACATTAGACTCCTTATCAGACTGCCGTTTTTCACCGTAATATGCCAAGATTCCTGTTGCACTGTGGAGGCGTTTTTTTTGCTCAAATCGTGGGTTAACGACACCCTACAGAGGGCTCAGTCTCGCGCTGCGCCAGCTTTGTAGCGAACTGAGGATGCATTTAACAGCCGCAGCAACGACTCTGTACTTCTAAACAGGCGTGCTAGTCCGCCTGAAGGGAGCGCCATTTCGCCTATACTCCCGCCTTTAGTGGGCGAGTTGAATTATACTCAGATGATCCCGCACTCACGTCGAGTTGTTGGCAATGCCCTGTCGTCCTTTGGAAAGATTGAACAAGCACTTGTTGCAGATTCGAAAGGACAAACAGCAGATGACTGTGAATCTCGGGAAACTTGCCTGCGAAGCCGCCTAAACAGACTTTCTTCCTATTCTTCTTCTTCGGTACGCCTCCTAGGCGTAACATTTATATCTTTGGCCGTGATCTACTTCCTGCTGCGTTGTTTTGACTTGACAAGAGAAAGATATCGGGTGGCTCGGCTAACGAGATCGCTTGCAGCTGGCGGCGTTGGAGCATGTCACGGCGATGAGGAAGATGGGGAAGATGCGGAATGGGGGGAGCGTTGGAATAGGGCGCCCGAAGGAACTGCCATGGAGCGCTGGACACGTGAATACTCCTTTGATTTTCCTGTACGGCAGGGAGAAGGTACGCTGCGCTTGCGATCAATGCCGACGGTCTCCACGGTTGGTGGTTTCAGAGGAGGTCGTGGAGTTGTTGCAGACAGGGAACTCGCTACAACTGCGTCGCAGACGGCGGGATTTGCAGAAGAACTGAAGAAGAAAGAGCATTCCGCTGGGGGAAGAGCTGCTTCACAGTATCCGCAACCTTCAGGAGTTCCCCCGCCTGGTCCTGGAGGGCTTGGACGAGGGAAGTATGGAGGTGAACAGAATGAAATGGACGCGAGGCTACTCCAAGGGGAGACCTGGGAAATGTGGGAAGGCAGAAATCTACCCCGCTATGCTGAAGTGCGGCTTGAGAGCGTGTTTAAGCGCATGGGTGAAGCTGCATCGGCTTGCCGGTCTTTGTTGGGGGTGCTAACGCAGAGTCAACAACTGCGACTATCATATGAAGTGATGAGATTACTGTCACTTGAACTAGGTGCAATATCCCTTGTCCCACAACATCTAGAACATCTAAGGTCGAATCTTGGTGACACGATTATTAAGTTGGGGATCGACGTTCTGCAGCGCAGTGTAGGTCTGCCGAGTATTGACGCCTACCGAGAGCCTGTTTGCGAACTGATCACCTTGGTACGTGAGCTTCAACAACCGCGCTTGACTACGGAGGAGAACGTCGCCCATCGGTATAGAAAAAAGATGCTTGCTATCTTGCAAACAGCCACAGCGGTGGTAGGGTATTGTTTGGGTTTGGTAGAGAGGCTGCTGAAGTTCAAGAATGGGGAAAGCTTAGCACTACCTTCAAGCCTGTTCGAGCAGCAAATGAATGTGCTCAAGGCGTTGTACGACGTTCATTCTGCTCAAGTCTCAATGGATGCTTCACTGCGATACTACATAGTTGACTGCCAAAAGCGCACCAGAATATATCTCATTTTGGGTCTCCGCCACCTGGAGATACGTTCAAACAAGTTGCCTCCGCTAAGGGAAATGGTGGATAAAATACATGCAGTTGTTGCCAATGCCGGCGGTCTCTTACCAGCTCCAGAAATTCCACATGCAAATTGCGACACTCCTGTAGCCAGTCCGTCGCGTGCGTCGGAACAACTGCACAGTCTCAGTGAATTCCCTTCTGGAACACACGGTGACAAGCAGCAGGGCAAAACACTCACTCATGGATTGAGCCTTCCGCGATCGGCAGGCGTGACAGGATCCCACGGCCTCCAGCCACGTGCTTCTTCATCACAAGTATCCCACCCTGTATTCCCACCGTCGCGCGTCGGGCACCATGCACACCAACGAACTCAAACGCATCCTCTTCCATCGCTGTTTCCCCATCCGCGGTTTAATCACTTCTTATCCGTGGTTCATCCCCAGGCTCACGATACCTACCCCAAACCATCGCAAACGACAACGAAAATTGGCCTAGAATCCATGCTTCCAATGCTTACTTCTGTATCCGAACGTGGCAATGTCAGCTGGCCTCCACCTCCTTACTTGGGTGCGTGGCAAGAACCAGAGCCCCAAACCCACCCTCATCACCAACGGTCAGGACCTGCCCCCCCTGAAGCGTCTGCGCATGCGGCAGTGCCCGGATATCCAAGCTACGGCAGATACAGCACTTCTGACCAAGCAGCGCGGCCTCCTCTGCCGTCAGCCGCTGCGGGGCCTGCCGGACGGGTTTCCGGTGGCGCTGCAGGTTGGCACTACGGAACAACCCATGGAGGCACTTCGCAGCACCAAGAAGCAGAGCCGGTGGAAAGGGTGGGAGGTCTGTTGGGGGAGCTCCTCAAGGGCGGTCTCAAAATCGAGGATGTCTTCCCTGATGAAAAGCCGGCACAGCTGTAGGCTAGTGAAGGTTCGCGTGCTGCATTAAAGGAATTTCTACGTTGTGGGGAAGCAGTACGGATGCAATATCCAACGTACGGTAGGGGCTCAAACCGCGCCTCAACTGATATTGGCTGCGTGTGATGTTCAGAATTAACTGCTTCGCAAGTCGTAAGGGGTTTTATATCTGCTCTCTGGCTTATCCGGTCCATCTTTGACACACTAGAGTTCTGAATCTATCTCTGTGAATGGTGTGGACAGCGTATTAGGAACTTTGCTGTGGCCAAGTCTACTTTCGGTAATTGAGGCCAACATGCGAAGAAAGAAGGCGATATTCAGTGACCGGACTGTGTCTAGCGGACAAAGACTGCGCGTTTGGTGCAACACACCAACAAACTAAGGTGTTCGCAAAAGGGGGTGTCGGCTTTTGAGTTGTCTCCTGCGTACAATGCAGACGTTTCCTTGCATAGGTGCGAGTGAGCTATATGTGCGCTTATTGCCCAGCCTTCTCTATTTCCAGCAGAAGCCGGTAGCCTCTCAGCGAATGTAATATCAAGTAGATGCGGAGCCAAGAACAACTGCTGCACGGGATACTCCGCAGGTTTGTTCAGTACGTTTTAGAGTGCTGCGCATATAGTGGGTAATTACGTTAACGTTGGATGGCGCCTCACATGATAGCACAGGTGCTGCGCAACCTGGAGACCTTTTTGTGCAAGAAGAAACCGCCGATAGACACACCCGTCTGACGGCTTAAGAAGGTGTTATTTCCTTCCCGGGGAGAAGTAGAAACAGTTGAGAAAGAGGAGCGGAGTCTGTGTGCATGAGGCGCCGTCAACTCCACAGCAAGCCTTCTTTCTCAGCGTTGACAGCAAATGCAACGGAGTCCAACTTCTTACGGCAAGCACCCCGTGGAAACAGCAGAGCTCGCCGTTTGTTTCCAAGCATCCACGGGACGACGGCGCACAAGCCTCCAACTAGTGCGCAGATGACTTCGCCTGTCATGCGGTGGACCAGGCGCTTCTGCAACCCCTGCTGCAGAGCAACTCCACGTTCGGGCGTAGCGAAGCCCCGGCTGGTGCGTAGACTAGGGCTGTATTCAATCGTTATGCTTTTATTTGGCACTCTGGAACCAAAGTGGGAGCAAGTAGAAATACACGCGTCAACTTCATAGACAATTCAACAAGACTACAGGGATCGACGGTCGGTCGCCCCATCATCTCTCCACAGTGCACGTTTCCAGACTAACTACGATGGGCTTTGACAAATGAGTATTGAACGCACATCGTTTAGCATGTTACACAGCGACGGGAAACCTGCAGCAGCAGCTGCGTGAAGGAGGCAGCTAGTTACCGTTCGTTTAAGATATGCAGGATACGGTGGAGAGCCCTTGAACTTCTTCTCGTCGTGAAATGACAAACAGGGGCTCTAAAATACATATCTACAGGAGTATTACGGTGAATGTTCCTTGTCTGGGTATTTTTGAAGCATTTGGTGCGTTACAGTCTTCACTATAAATGAAGGTCAATCACTTTTGAAGACCCCTTCCCTTCTCAACGACCCAATCGGCGGATGCAGCGCTCGCGCGCATTGGTACTAACACTCGGAGTGCCGTTCTGTTTGAATCGAGGATTGGCGATATTTATCGCTACGCCAGTTTTTATTACTGTTTAGGCGCGGTCGAGGGGCGGTGGCACTGACCGAACACGCCACAGACTCGATAAACAAAGCCGCGAAGCCGCTTGACTGGTCTGGTAAGGGTACCACCATTGGAATTGAGGCTGCCTGCGCTGGTTAGTTACGGACCCCTGCTTTCTCCAGAATGTACATATAAGCTCTGAATAATGTCAGATGTCTCTGGTTTCCCGGGAAATCTCTGCCTCAGTTTCGCACCAGGCTCACCGGTGTAGTGAACGCCCTGTGGTTCAGCACGGCAGGCAGTGAAGGGTGAAATCCCTTTCTTTTAGAGCAAAAACCAAAGCGTTCAATTTCTAAAGCAAGCAAAACAGTTCGAATCTAGGCGGTATAGTCCACTACGCCAATATGTAGGCACGAACTGTAATGGCCAGCTCTGGGTTCCCTACGATAGCTTAGACGCATAGGGAAGGTGGTCTCAAGAAGGAAATATACGCCATGACCAAACGTGGTATACGTTTTAAATGCCACGAGACGAAAGGGTTTCAGTGGATGGAACGAGCGACAAAAATAGAAATTCCGTAGGCCTCGTAGTCAGCACCATAATAGCGCTTAGGGACATCTGGGGTCGGCTCCTGGGGCCGCCTAGGCTGGTCGCTACCGCTCGGCTGCAGCTGCACCGCCACGTCTAGGCGAATGGTCTCCTTGCCAGGTGCTTATCCCTATATTAGAGCTAACGCGAGGTCTATCCTGTTCCTAACTAAGAAATGTGAATTCCCATCTAAGAGGGATAACGGGGAATCTACCGCACAAAATAGAACGACCCAATTGAAGTGGCCTGCACTACAACCCGTGTAGTGCCCTGGGTATAACGCTTGCTCTTTGGCTTTTACTAATGGCAGAAGCGAGCTGCAACGTAGGTAAAGACTTAGAGCAAGAGTTTCCCAAATGCAGCTGACATCCTTCCCCTGTCATCAAGCCTCGTGAGCGGTGAACTGAGGGCCTGGGTGTTGGGGGGAGAAGGCAGCCTGAAGTGGGGTTGCAGCGCACCTCGCTGCGTCTGGTAAAACAAGCCAGCCTCACGTGCGCACTCCAGGAAGCTTCAGCGAAGCTGCCTTTGCTTCATGCTTTACTTCTGAATGTACTTATAGAAAGTTTGCATTGCTTACACACAACCTACCAAGGCCAAGTGAAGGTTCCTGTGCGTCTGTGTAGGCAGGACATCTGAGCAATTCCCCTTCAGAAATGTCAGTCTAAGGGGAGTTTGGGGCCATAAGGATCATAGGGCCCTCGGAACTTGATCCCACTCACGTCATTTGATGCACCAGACAATGCCAGCAGCTCTGCATCTTATGCCCCCAACGACAAAACGAACGCAGATGAAAAACACAATTGTGGGGCCCAGTAGGGATCCAAGTTCCCTCACACGATGGGGTGCTGTGAATCCATAACACTAGAGGTACTGTAGTGCACGGGCACTACAATAGCTCCTCTGTGTGGCCTGTAGAGGCCTAGTATCATGAAAAGGATTAAATACTATAGAATATCTCAGGAGTTAGGACATCTTTACACAAGAGAAGATGCATAATATGATCGGAGTGCTCACCAGCCGGCACCGGCTTGGGGGCTGGGTGTGAGGCTGAGGCTCTGACTCTGATACTGACCCTCAACGAGGGTCAGGGGAGTTCTATTCTTCTGAGGATTTCCTTCAGGAAGAAATCAGGAACTCGAATGCCTTTTGAATAGTTAATGGATATTATAGTGAGAATAGCGAGAATTACGAGTTTAGATCCTTAGTAGCAGTGTGTGCGCTTAGCCTTGTAGCTTAGGGTCCATACGTAGTGACAGCAAAGGGTCGCTGTGCACTACAGGTACTGCGGGCCCAGTAAGCTGATGATGTAAGGGGAGAGCCCTCAGTCCTTCATGTGCGATGCCGCGAGTTGTTCACGATAATGTAGAATATTTCACTTTAGTATAAATATTTACAGTAGGCGTTATGTATTAGTAGGTTTGTGCTTCTGAAGGACTACTGTGGGGCGCATCCATAGAACCCCACAACTGAGTATAGCGAGCTGGCAGAGATTAGCTATCATCTGATACAGCAACACAACAAAACTAACTAAGGTTAAAGGAGTTACTTCCCTCAGTTTCTTCTTCGAAATTGTCCTGTTCTGCAACCCTACTAGACCCGGCACTGCGGCCTTTGGGGCTGGGAGAGGAGACGGCGTAGCCTGTTGCAACACCTTTTGCACCAAGTCTCATACCAGCCTCTCCTATAGTCATGCCATTGCCTCTTCGTAAACAATATTTAATGCACTCGTCAATTTTGTCCTCAATGTACACCAATAAGCACTCACAGGCACTTCCACTATTCATCCAACTCTCACTCATTTCACAACGAGCACGGCATTGTTGTCGTGATTGCAGTGAGTATTCACTGCAGGCCATGCTAGAGTGCAGTTCAACAGGGCATGCAAAGAGTAGGAAATACTCCTTCCAGAAAAGTTGTACTTAAACTTTTTCAAATCGACAAAATTAAACCTTTTAATGTCATATCGTCTGAGTGAAAGGGCAAACATTTAGAGCGGGAGCAGAATAGTCTTCACTCGTTAAGCCGTACGTATGCCTGACAGAGAGAATGAGCTAAGATTGGAGGTAGAGATACGGAACGTAACAAAATGATGAAGGTGATACCCAAAACGTATTCATGCACATACGTGATCTCCTTGACAGTACGAGGATAATATTCTGGGTTGGATTGGAGCCGGAAGCGGTAAATTCCATTAGGGACCCCCGGGTTCGTCTCCCGGCACTGCCTTGAGCCGCCGCATTCAGTCGGCTGCGGCTTCGCCCAGGCAGGCCTCCAGGTTGCATACGACTTTGTGAGTAACTGTGTGAATAATCCTAACGAAAAACTTGTACGTGACTTAAGCGCGTTCCTAATAGGGAAGTGCAAATTTCCATCTAAGAAGATAAATGAATATACTCGCTGATGTAATAGAGCCTCCTTATTGTAGTGCGCCTGTAGTGCACAGGCACTACAATGGATCCGTTGTGTGGCCTCTAGAGGTCTAGTATCCTGAAAACGAATAAAACACTATAGAATATCTCAGGAATTAGGGCACTTTTAGATAGAAAAAATGCATAATAGGCTCAGAGTGCTCACCAGCCGGCGCCGGCTTGGGGCTGCGTGTGAGGCTGATGCTCTGACACTGACCCTCAGCAAGGGTCAGAGACAGTTCTATTATTCTGGGTTTTTTCCCTGAGCAGATAATGTGAACTACGGTGTGTTTTGGTTATTTATGGTGTTTAAGAGTGGATTCAGAGAGAATGATGTGTTTAGGTAGTTAGATGCAGAGTGTGCATCTACTCAGAACAGCTTAGGGTTC